GAGCGAGATCCCGAACCTTCTGCTGGACAAAGCAGCTGCAGCCAAAGCATCTCCTAAAGGAAAAGCAAAAGCAGCTAGCAAAAAGAAGCCAGCTGCAGTCATCAAGAAGCCAGCCTGCCTTCCGCAGGAAGATGGAGAATCTCCAGCTGCAGGTGCAAATGATGCTGCAGCAGCCCAAGATCTCGAAGCCCCTGCCGAAGCCGCTCTGGTTCCAGTCGATGCTCCAGCTGCAGATGATGATCAGGATCCGAACTATGGGGATGTGGCGGTTCTCCCTGCAAATGCGGTTCTTCGGAAGGAGTATCGTGCAGCAAACATGACCATGGCCTTTCGCATGATTTGGCGAAACGAAAAGAACAAAGAGTGCAAGAGGCAGATGTTCCAGCTGAAAGGCGGCTCCGCCACCACGAAGGAGCAAATGCATGCAACAGGAGAGGAAGCCCTACGAAAAGCTCGAGCTGGAGAGCCTTTGGCCCAGGTCAGGAGCTGGGCAGAAGAGCAACTGAGCAGCATGCAGCCATAGCTGGGTGAGCTGCAATCGAGACTCGACGATCGATGACGATTTCGCTTTCGAGCAGAAATTTTGTGAGTGCCTGCATTTTGGATCCATGCTTTTGCAACATGAAATTTGGTATGTGCAGCATGCAACTTGAACACTCTGTGTTTTTGTATATCTGTAGCTGGCTCAAAGCATGCATGTCCACGTCTCTAGGTTAACATGGCTTGCGAGGTGTTTTCTATATATTATATTCTATAAATACGTAAATTAACAAATCTAGATATTTTGGCGCTTTGAGGGTTTAAGGGTCTATAGGATTAGATTCCTGTTGCCTGCCGGGCCCTCAGTTCGGTTGTGAGCCTGCCTGCCATAGCTTTGAGAGTTCCAAGCAGTGCTTTTTGTTTTCGGGAGGTTCGCCGCCTCCCGGGGTAGGTTTGAAGCCCCTTGCCCCCTGTGCTTGCCCAGGTCGAGACCATGGTGCTCGTGCCGCTCTACTGCGAGGACAAGGACTGATCTGCAGATTCTTCATGTTCGTTTTTGTTTGCAAGGGCAGCAGATTTGTGGAAGTTCTTGCCTCCATGCTTAGAATTTTGAGCTCGAGGGCTCTGGAGTGCTTGTAGCTGTGTTTTTGGATTTGGGCCGCCATGGCGGCATCCAGCAAGCTCGGTGCAGCTGCGGATTTGGAAGAGGAGGAATCCGAGGAGTCGGAGGTCCGGGTGGAAGACCCGGCAGTACCCGTGCCGGCCGAGGGTGCCCCGGCCGATGCCCCTCGGCCGGGGCCAGATTTGAGAATGTGTCGTAAGTGCAAAACGGTGGCATATCTGAGAAAAGGAGGATGCAGCAATCCCTCATGCACCTTGGTTTTTTTCAGTAAGATTTAAACTTAAGTGTGTTAATTTTCCGATTTTATTCGGGAGTCGTTTTGGACTCCCGTATTTTTTTATCAGGGTTTATGCAGCTCCGCCCTGCAGGCCCCCTGTACTATGTCCACCAGAAGGACTGGAAGTATCATGCGAAGGGGAAGCAGCGGGAGAAGAGCTGGATGGAGGATTCTGAGGGCTTCGAGAAGATGCTCTCCAACATGAGGTGGGCCTACAATAAAGCGGCCGAGGAGAAGAAGGCCAAGGAAGCCCAGGAGGCCAAGGAGGCCAAGGAGGCCAAGGAGGCCAAGGAGGCCAAGGATCCCAGCAAGAAGACCAAGAAGAAGAAGAAGAATAAGGGGATCAACCGTCGGCTGCGAGGAGTCCAACGGGGCTTCACGAAGGGATCGGGTACCATCCGTGCAGGAAGCCCTCGGAGCCGAAGCCGCCCAAGGTGCCATCGGAGCCGAAGCCGCCCATCCAGCCGAAGCCGCTGAAGCCGCCTAGCAAGGGCATCCCGAGGGCCTTTCAGGACAAGACGCCCATCAAGGCCGAGAGCTTGGGGAAGGCTTTGGTCCCCAGGTATCCGGCAGTGATTCAGCCACCGGTGCCGGCAATCAACATCAATTTCTTTGGGAGCTCAGGTGCCTCCGGATCCTCAGGCAGGGATATATATTATGATAAGTTGTAATATTTTTTTATTATAGATTTTTCGCTGGAGTTTTTTTGGAACTCCAGTTTTTTTGTTTTCCCCTGCAGATGTCATCGCCGGGTTGCTTGCGGCCATTGGAGCCGGGATGGCGGGGCAGGCGCCGATGCCGCCGCCGGCGGCGGGCCCAGGGCGAGGAGGTTAAGCCGGATGAGGAGGACGAGCCCGGCATGGATGTGGACGATGAGGAGGAGGATGGCAAGGGCGATTCGGAGGAGGGCAAGAATAAGAGAAAGAGGGATGAGGAGTGATGTGTTTCACTCCCTGTGCAGCATGCATCTTCCAGGGCGATGATGATCAGAGCGATCGTGCAGAAAAGAAGTGTTAGTGTTGGAGCCGTTTTCAGTGGCATGTGGTGCTGTTGTTTTCAGGGTTTCATCATCCATGCTTTTTGGCAGGAGTTCCTTGGAACTCCTGAACAATGGTCTTGGCCTCAGAGTGCATGGTGTGCAGTCTGTAGCATGCAGTGCAGTTTTTTTGTTGTGTTTGCAGCTTCTTTGTATTGCAGGTTGGCTGGGCATCCCCATCATGGGTGTCGAGGCACCGGCGGATTAGGGTTTAAGGGTTAAAGGCAATATAAGGGTTTAGGGTTTAAGGGTTAAGGGCTTAAGGTTTCAAGGGTTTAGGGTTTAAGGGTTGAGGGGTTTGGGGGTTCAAGGGTTTAGGGTTTAAGGCTTTCAGGGTTTAGGGTCTAAGGATTTAAAGGTTCAGGGGTTTAGGGGTTCAGGGTTTAAGGGTTTAGGGTTCGAGGTTTTTAGGGTTTAGGGTTTAAGGGTTACAGGTTGAGGGGTTAAGGGTTTAGGGTTAGAGGTTTTTGGGGTTTAGGGTTTCAGGGTTTACAGGTTGAGGGGTTAAGGGTTTAGGGTTTGGTGTTTTTAGGGTTTAGGGTTCCAGTGTTTAAAGGTTAGGTTTAGGGTTTGAGGGCCCGGGTTCAGGGGTGTAGAGGTTGAAGCTTTTAGGGTTTAGGGTTTTTGGTTTTCGGTTTTACCAAGTTTAGGGTTTAAGGCATAAGGGTTGAGGTTTAGGGTTTGGGTTCAAGGTTGAAGCTTTAATGTTTACAATCAGTGTTATAGAATTATTATAATGTTGCAAGGGTTGAAAAAGGGTTGAAATTTCAACCGGTTGAAAAATGGCTTGTGCTTTTCATCCACCATTGGGGTGGCTTTTTCAACCGGTTGAAATTTCAACCGGTTGAAGGCGATTTCGCGGAGCGACTAAGTTGTCTTTTCTGTTTTCATAGCTGCCGGTTCAGCAGCGCAATGATTAATTATTTATCGTTTTGCTTCCGGCATGCTTTCATGATGTGAGCTTTTGACTCACTCTTTTCAGGCATGTTTTTGGATTCATTTTGAAAAGTAGTCGGACGCGCTTTTTAAGTATGTGGACTACTTTTCAATGTTGATTGAAGTAACTCATGCGTGATCACCCGCGCCGCTTCGCACAGCATGGCTCGTCGCACATGTGCAACATGACATCGAATCAGCTCATGAGCTACGCAGCTTGAGCATGCACTGTGCAGCAGAGCTTTGCTAAAATTTTCAGCCGTAGCGGTGGGCCGGCTGATGGAGGCCCAAGGGGCCGACTCCGACTCTGAGAATCTCAGCTCTTGCAGCACGATCTCGGCCATTTCGCGTCACGTGTTTGACATACAGATTCAGCTGAACCAGGTTCAGCAAGAGAATCAGGTCCTGAGTGATCGTGCCGAGTATCTTGAAGGTCGTCTGCGTGCCTTAGAGCAGTCTCAATCAGCTGTTGATCGCCGTCTTGTGTGGCTGGAACGTTGTGTTCAGCAAATCCGGACTCTGGCCTCGAATCTGTGTGGGCCATGAAACGTGACTCTGACAGCCTAACAGATTTGGTCGCACACACACAGCTGTGCGATTACAGGGCCAAACGCATTCCGATGCCTTGGGATCAGGGGGTTTTTGGTCTAGTCTTTGGGTCCCCTAGGCCTCCTGCACCCTTGGTCCCCCTCCCAAGCCCACCGCCTCAGCTTGCTGCCGGTGTCAGTTCGGCGATACAGCAGGCTCCGCAAGATGCTCTGCCCTCCGCCACTCAGGCCTTTGCTCGGCAGCGGGCTCGTTTTGTTGCGCTGATTCGGTCAGATGATTCTGTGCGCTTTGAGGCTTTACGTAAGATTAAGACCCTGACTTTACTTGATCCTGCTGCATCGGAGCTGGGGCGGCTTCTCATCGGCGAGGCCGCAATTTTGTCTGACCCTGAGAGACTTCAGAAGTCCTTTGCTGACACGTTCGCTACAAAGAGCACTGCAACATTGGCCAAACGAGCTTCCTCCTTCTGGAAGTTTGCCGAGTTTTGCTTGATGTTCGATTTTGGCTCGCCCTTTCGTGCGAGCGAGGCGGCTGTCTATGCATATATCCAGGACTTACAAGCCCACGGAGCTCCCACGTCGGCCAAGGCCTTTCTTGAAAGCTGGAATTTTCTGTCAGCGCTACTGGGTTTCGCAAAACTTGCAGGCCAATCACCTTTGTCAGGCCGTGTGCGAGGAGCTGCTGCAGCGTTGGCGGCCACCAAGAAGCCGCTGGTCCAAGCCTCACCATTGTCAGTTCCAATGATTCGGGCTCTGGAAAGAATTGTGGTGAAACCTCCGTATCCTCATTGGCGTGTGATTGCCGGGCACATCCTTTTTTGTGTGGGAAGCTGTTCTCGCTTTTCGGATACAATCCACCTCAAATCTCTGGAGCTTCAGAGTGCGGGAACTGTGCATCTTTTGGAAGCATCCTCTGCATCTTACAAGACTGGTACTGGCGAACGGAAGACCATACTTCTGCCGCTGCTCTGCCTGGGATCTTTCGTGTACCCCACGATTTGGGCGCCGCTGTGGATGGAAGCCCGAGCTGATGCTGGCCTCGGCCTCAATCCGTCACTGCCTGCATTCAGCGAAGCCTCGCAGTCTTGGTTGGAGCGTCGCATGTCTACTGGAGAGCTTACCATGTACTTGCGTGAGTTCCTCGTAGCCAGTCACATCGACCTTCCTTCGGAGTCCCGCATCAGCAGTCACAGCATGAAGGCCACCTTTCTCAGCTGGCTAGCCAAATTCGGAGGAGTTTCTTTGGAGGACCGCCGCATTGCAGGGCACCATTTGGACCCTGATTCCCGGTCCCCTCTGACCTACAGCCGTGACGAGCTGTGCCGCTTGATGAAGATTTTCGAGGACATCCTGAAAGCCATCCGTTCCGGCCAATTTAAGCCTGATGACAGTCGCGTGATGCGTTTAGCTGTCATGGTTCAGGCTGAGTCAGGCCCTCAGCTGCAGGAGAGACTCCTCGAGCAGGACCCATATGTCTCCGACTCCGAAGCTGGTGATTCCGACATCAGCCCCGAGGATCTGGAGGCCCGAGCCGGTGGAGTCCCCCTGGACGATGGCTTGAACGCTGCTCAGATTCCTTCTGTCTACAGCAAGATGCACATTTACAGTCGTACAGTGCATATACAGGCTGCTGAAGGTGCCAAATTTTTGTGTGGCCGACCCATCACCCGCAATTTTGACGAGCTGGACAAGGCCGTACCGGCCTCTGCTTGTTTGTAAGCGGTGCAGCCAAATCCACCGAGCCAGTTAAATAGCTGGCGCACGTATTGCTATTCTCGCAAAAGAAAGCCTCTTCAGCACGAGCAGCCGAAAGACCCGGGTAATCGGAGAAATTTCTCTCCCAGCCTGCAGTGGTCTCAAGGGTGGTGCCAAGCCGGGTCTATGAGCAACTACATCTGCGCTGGCGGTACTCGGGGCACCTTAACCCCAAGCCGTTGGACGCCATGGAACATTGTGCGTCTTGCAAGCTGTTTTCCGCATCCCCGGTATCCGGCACCATCCCTGGCAATCTTTCATGCTGTGTGGTACACTGCGTAAGCTGCGAACGTCTGGAGTCCTTTACAGCTCTTGTCCACATGTGCAGTTTTGTTCAAGCCGGCTACCGTGTGAACCATGTCCAGCCTCGACAGCAAGGCGGCCTTTAAGGCCAGAGCAATCGAGCTCAACTTTCCCGAGGAGACCCTGAAAAAGCTCGCGGCCATCAATGTGGACACGTTCGGAGCTCTAGCCTTTATCGGGCCTCTTCAAGCTGGCACGACCGATGAGGGCCCACTCATCAGCATGCTGAAACGTGCTTTGGGTTCAGCGCCTGATGACGCGCTTATGAGCATCGCTCGCCGCCTGTGGTTCGAAAGCACCACTCAGGCTCTTGCTGAAATGCGTGGCAAGGTCGAGCGCACCGATGCTTCTGAACCAGTTCGGATGCCTTTGGCCGAGCGCACACAACGCCTTGCTGCTCTTCAGAAGCGACTTGTGGGTATTCACTGGACCTCCGACATTGAGCCTTCCCATAAGCTACAAGACTTGGTTGCTCAGATGGTGTCTGATCAGTCCTTGCTTTGGATTCCGTGGGATCGCCTCACAAGCCGAGCTTTGGAAATTACGTCTGACAAAACCGATCAGGCGGTCAGCTTCGACAGTGCCGGGAACCTCAAGCTCGTGAAACGGTCAGCTGAACCTTCTTGCAGTACCATCGGAGAATACGCCGTTAAGCTGGCACTTCAGAGGAGGAGTTTGGCTTTCGAACTAGCCAGAGTCTGCCGTTACGAGTACCTCGAGTCCTGGCATGACCAGTTGCTGCAAGTGCATATGCGCTCCCAGCCTTCAGGCCATCAAAGAGTTTCGATTGCTCAGCTTCGTGAAGCCGACAAGTTTCTGTGGACGAGGATCGCCGAGGATACGCGTGGCTCACTGTCCATGCGCTCAGATGGCTCGTACCCCTTCGAGGCCTCGCTTGCAAAGTGGAAGGATCACACGCAAGTTCAGTGCTACCTACTTCCGCTGATGCGATCACCGCCTCCACCGCCGACTCCACACACTCCCAACATCCCGCCCAACAAGGACGGGAAAGGAGGCGGCAAGGACAAAAATCAGAAAGGGCTCAAGATTCGCAAGGACACTCCCGGAGCGGAGAAACCCAGTGACTCAGGAGCCAAGAAGTGGAGCGTCCCGCAGGGTTGCCACTCGCAAGATTCGACCGGCAAACCCCTGTGTTTCAGCTTTAACACCAAGGGCTGCGGGTTTGCCAAACCCGGCAAGCGCTGTCGCCGCGGCCGCCATCTGTGCTGGAGGTGCCTGGAACCGCATCCGGCTTCCGAGTGCCCGGAGTTTCAGTGACCAGATTCTGCAGCTGCCGGCGTGATGACTCCTTCATTCAGGGATGACGAGACCGGTGGCAAGCGTCTTGCGGCCGAGGAGTTGGCCGACCAGCTCCTTGCTCGGCCCACTGTTTCTTCGGATGATTTGTTACGTCTTAGTTTAGCTTTGCCTTCTGAAATCCCTTCCCGAGGAACCGGTTCTAGAGGGCGCTCTGTTAGTTTGGGGGCTTTTGCTTTTTCAGGATCGCAGTGCTTGCGTGTACGTAACACCAGCAAGCAGTACCCCTTGAGCACCAAAGTTTTTGCCAGATTCGTGCGTCAGCTTGACAAGGATTTTACTTGCACAACCATTGCCGTTTTCACAAACCTTCAAACACAGCTTCACCAAGATACCGCCAACGATTCGCGAAGCCACAACCTTCTTTATCCGCTCTCCAAATTTTCTGAAGGAGACGTCTGGATCGAGTCCGATCAGGGAAAGGTGCCTTTCGAACACCGGGGCGAGGTTCTCTGGGGAGACTCCCTTCCGGTGTCCCAGGGGCTTTGCTATCTTGATGCGCCGAACTGCCGACATGCCACTTTGGCCTGGAAGGGCGAGCGCAGTATTCTAGTGGGATACACGGCCCAAGGAGCCGATTGCATGCAGACGCGCACATTCCTTGAGAACTTGGAGTTTCCCCTGCCCCCCGAGGGCCCCAGGCCCATCCCTAAGACTAGTCCCGAGCCCGTTAAGCCCTCCCTTGCTGTCGCTGACTCCTGTAAGCCTCTCTTCGTCGAGATCTTCGCAGGCTGCGCGCGCCTTTCAAAGCATTGCGAGGCTTTGGGGTTTGAGGTTTTAGCGGTTGACTCCCCTTGGAACCGTCATGCACCTGAACACCCTCTTCTTGTGCTGGACCTTACGGAAACCATGTGCCAAAAGCAGCTCCTGGACAGGCTACTGCTGCACCCCCCATTCGCCATTCACATTGCCTTGCCCTGTGGTACGGGTAGCCGAGCCCGAGAAAGGCCCATAAGCAAGAAGGCGAGATTGGCAGGTGCCCCGGAGCCTGTCCCGCTGAGGGACAACGATCACATTTTGGGCTTACCGAACCTGTCGGACACCGACAAGGCCCGGGTTCGCAAGGCCAATGAGCTGTGTCGCTTCGTTGTCGAGCTGATTCGTGCCTTACCTTCTTCCACTTTTGTGAGCATCGAGAATCCCAATAATTCCTGGATTTGGGGAGTGCTAGCTTTCTTCGTGCAAGAATCTCGAGACCCTGCCCTACTCGAGAACTGGCGTCGCATGATCGATGTGCGCTTTCATAATTGCATGAAGGGAGGTCGACGACCCAAGCACAGTCGCTTTCGTTGCAGTGATTCTCGCTTGTCTAGCATGGCTGTGGAGTGCGACAATCAACATAGGCACGATCCCTATCTGGTCTATCAGACCGGCCGACAGTGGAGATTCAGTACCGCTGAAGAGGCGGAATATCCGCCTCAACTTTGCCAGGAGGTGTCGCAACTGCTGGCCGCGACAGCGGGTTTGCCATCCTGCTTAGAACCGCCGGCAGGTCCCCGCGCTGTCTGGCCCCAACCACGTGGGAGCCACAAGCTAATCCCTGAGTTCCTCGAGTTTCGCACCGAGGCTCCCCTAGATAGGCCCTTTAAGGAGTTTACCTCGGGTTTAGGGGGTGGTTCCGGGAGGTTCGGGGTGTACAGAACGCCTACCGAGTTCATCGATTGTGCCCTAAAGCTCAGCCATCCCTTTGATACCCAGCACTGCGTCCCAGATGCCGTCAAAAGGAACATCTTCAGACGGCTGACCGAAGGACCATCTGCTTTTGCTGAAGAGAGGCTCAGACTTTACAACAGGCTCAACCAGATGGAGAAAGAACTTCGCTACGAGGAGGCGCGACTGCATTCAACCCTGCCTGACCACACTCGCGAAGTCATCAAGGGAAAGAACCTTCTGCTATGGGCACAATTGCTGAAGGAGACCAAATTTCCTGATGAAGGAGTCTTCGACTTGATGATGGGCGTCGATTTGGTGGGCAAGCCAGACAAATCACCCTTGTTTGAAACCAAGGAATCGCCGGCTACATCCACACCTGAGCTTCTCCTTGAATCAGCTCGCTGGCGCAGAGAGAGGCTCAAGGGCCGTGATCCGCACGAGAAAGATCCGGAGGCGACCTGGCAACTCTGGGATTGCACTCTAAAGGACCGGGACGACGGCTTTCTCACAGGGCCGTTCTACGATGAGGACGAAGTGAAAAAGCACCTTGGAGTAGAGGAGTTCGTCTGTTCAAGAAGGTTCGTCATCGAGCAGGGCACGCCGGAGAGGCCCAAACTTCGACCGGTCGACAACTACAAGGAGGGCGGGGTCAACGAAGCTTACCATAGCCTCGAAAAGCTCGCCTTGTTTGATGTCAACTGGATGACGGCGATGGCGACTTACATCGCGCGGGTCTCGGATGGAACTGGCGATTTGGAGATTGTTCTCAGCACGGGAGAAATTCTACGCGGAAAGCTGCACTCTTCTTGGAAAGCTAAGAAGCCCGTCTGGCAGGGGCGAACGCTGGATTTGGAAAAGGCGTATCGTCAAGTTCCACTTTCAACGGAGTCGCTACGACTGGGGGTCGTCATGGTCACGGACCCTAACAGCGGCAAGCCGTGCTACTTCGTGGCCCAGAGTTTACCCTTCGGTGCATCATCGTCTGTGTTTGCTTTCAACAGGCTGTCAAGATCGATCTTGCATCTGAGCTGGAACTTGATTGGCACGATCTCAGGATGCTTCTACGACGACTTCCCGCTTCTTGAAATCCAATCTTCTGCGAAGCTTGTCTCTGAATCATTCGAACACCTGCTGCGGAAGATCGGGTGGAGGTATTCCAACGACCCGGCCAAAACCTCGCCTTTCAATGAGAGCTTCGATCTACTTGGAATACGTCTCAATGCAGGTGACATCTCCAATGGCGTCGTGGTGCTCCAAAACAAGGCATCAAGGCTGGAGAAGATGAAAGATACTTTCATCCGCATGGCGTTGAATGGTGAATGGGATCTGCGACAGATTCAGTCACTGCAAGGGCAAGTGAACTTCGCTTTGGGCTTTGCCTCGGGAAGAGCATTTAAGATGCTGCAGCGTGCACTTGGAAGCTTCATCAGGAATCCTGAAGATCGCAGCGCGAGTGACTTCCAGACACTTTGCGAGTTCGGGATCCGCTTGATTGACGAGTGCAAACCAAGAGTCTTCGCCTGCCGAGGGCCGGAACAACCGGTGTTGATCTTCACTGATGCAGCTTACGAAAAAGGTGTCGCCACCTTCGGCGTGGTGGTCCTGGATCCCTTCACTTCTTCTAAGCTAGTGGCCGGAGGTCGCATACCGAAGACTCTGGTGGAATTCTGGAAGCTTGACAGCCCCGAACAGGTGATTGCTCAGGCTGAAGCTTTCGCCGTGGTCCTCGCAAGAGAAGCTTTCAGAAATTTCATCCATGGCAGGCGAACCATTTACTTCATCGACAACGAGGGAGCGAGAGAAGTCTTGATCAAAGGGGCGAGCAAGTCACGTACGCTTCTGCTTTTGGGAGCACGCTTCTTCGAGATGGAAAACTTAGATCAAAGCTTGACGTGGCTAGAGAGGGTTCCATCTGCTAGCAATGTGGCAGATGGGCCGAGTCGTGGTGAGATTGCCGAGACGGCGAAAATCATTGGTGGCACGATCGTTGATCTGCAGGAGAAGGCAGAAGAACTTGGAGAGTTGTGCAAATCAACTGTACAGATACCTTGGAAGCTGCTCAAGTAAGACCGGTCACTTTTAAAGGGGGTTATGCGTGTTGGGGCAGAATCGGTATCATGCACAACTGAGCGATTGCGAATCCTACCGCATATTTGCTCGTGCCTCAACCGAAACCCGAAACAGTGGCACTGACCACATCTTATGTTTCTGACTCGCCCTACCGTGTGAGACCCCCGACTGGAAAAAAGACCGAGTCCGAGTTCGAGCACTCTTGTGAAGAATTTTTACACATATGTATAGTTGCGATTCTCAAATATCGATTGATTGAATTCGCATATTTGTATAGCTTGCGATTCTCAAATATCGATTGAATAAATTCGCACTTTGTTTATCGATAAATCAAATCATTGTGAAAACAGAAAGACGGCGATTTCGCGGAGCGACTAAGTTGTCTTTTCTGTTTTCATAGCTGCCGGTTCAGCAGCGCAATGATTAATTATTTATCGTTTTGCTTCCGGCATGCTTTCATGATGTGAGCTTTTGACTCACTCTTTTCAGGCATGTTTTTGGATTCATTTTGAAAAGTAGTCGGACGCGCTTTTTAAGTATGTGGACTACTTTTCAATGTTGATTGAAGTAATTCATGCGTGATCACCCGCGCCGCTTCGCACAGCATGGCTCGTCGCACATGTGCAACATGACATCGAATCAGCTCATGAGCTACGCAGCTTGAGCATGCACTGTGCAGCAGAGCTTTGCTAAAAATTTTCACCCGCCCTCCCGCCCTTGAGGGCTTTCGCCCTATATATTGGTGGGGGGGGGTTATGCGTGTTGGGGCAGAATCGGTATCATGCACAACTGAGCGATTGCGAATCCTACCGCATATTTGCTCGTGCCTCAACCGAAACCCGAAACAGTGGCACTGACCACATCTTATGTTTCTGACTCGCCCTACCGTGTGAGACCCCCGACTGGAAAAAAGACCGAGTCCGAGTTCGAGCACTCTTGTGAAGAATTTTTACACATATGTATAGTTGCGATTCTCAAATATCGATTGATTGAATTCGCATATTTGTATAGCTTGCGATTCTCAAATATCGATTGAATAAATTCGCACTTTGTTTATCGATAAATCAAATCATTGTGAAAACAGAAAGACAACGTAGTGCTGTATATATAAAACACTATAAGCTGCGTACCAAATTATTAAACTTTTTAACTGGAGGCCACAGCCTCCAGGAAACCTACAATACAAAGATCTTGCTGCTGTGCGGCTACGGTCTGGGTTGTTTCAGGACAATCTTCCAGGGTCTATATGTTCGGTGGCACAGGTTCTAGGTGTTCCAAAGGCTCATGGATAAAGGTTGTGCAAGGTGGGGGTTGCTCCAGTTGCATAGTGGTTTAGGTGAATTGGTGGTGTACATGCTGAGGATTCAAAGGTGTGGGTTTCAGGGATCGCTCAGTATGTTCAGAAGGCTTCTGGCCCTAGCAGGTTTTGGGTTCCAGTTTAATTTTATGTGGGGGCATCATTACATCATCATATCACAGTAACATGTGAATGTTACTGTGATATAATGATGTAATGGTGTAACAAGCATGTATAGTGTGATGTACATGAACTTATCGTCATCTATAAGTATATAATATATCGATCGTCATTTAATATAGTATACTCATGAATAAAATATATGATATATATATATATATATATATACATATATATATATGTACTAAAACCTTAAAGGATTAGTATCATAACCTTATATATATATATATATGTGTATATATTAATGGACATATGTATATATATATATATAGATACATCTAGACATATATACATAAACACCCTTACCTTGTAGAACCTCTATACTTTGGATCTATGTTAATCCCTTACAGAAACCCAAATCCTTTAATCCCTGAAGCTTGAAACCCTAAAGCAGAACCCTCAGGTGTCTTGCTGCATGTGCTGCAGATACCATGTGTCCGGGCCACAGGTGCAACAGTGATATGCTGCATCGTTTTGTCACAGCATGATAAACAAATGCATCAAAACACACTTTCAATTTTGTGGCTCCAGATCAAAAATAGTTTAAATAACTGGAGCCTTTTGTACAGTTGCCCTTTTGGCATCATGGCCCCAAAGAATAAGGCCAAGGCTGCTCCGAAGACGGAGCCGAAAGCTAAGAGGGCCAAGTCCGGTGCCTTGGTGGTTGGGGATGATCCCACACCGGTGGAGATGAAAGCCAGCATTCAGAGGATGCTGAATCTTGTGAAGTACAAAGCCGACCCCGTGAGAAACAAGAGTGGGGAGTGCCAGAGCGAAGCCCAGCAAGTGCTGGAGGCCGGGTTGCAATTCTCCATTTGCTATGCATTACATTTTTTTGTGGGTATTGCATGTGCCAGGCCTACCGGCAGATCGCCGACTCGGACCGAAAGGGATTCATCGCTGCCTACCAGAAGAATGGCCTTAAGGACTTGAAGTGGGTGGGCCAGTACACCAAGAAGGTTGTGAAGGAGGAAGCCGAGGAGGATGTCTCTATCAAGGGCATGATGACAGCGACTCTTAGATTTTATTTTATATAGGTTGCTTGGTCATTTTGTTTTTAATGTTTTTGTTTTGCAATGCCGCTGAGGTCGCGAATTTTTGACCTGAATGGCCTCAAGATCAGCGACTTCCCAGAGAAGAGGCAGAAGGAGTTGCTGGAGGGTTTGCTCCAGGAATCCGAGGATTTCTGGGGGCACGAGAGGAACCTGGTGAAGCACAAGATGCCCGAGCTCTGCCGGTACTTTTACCGGACCTTGGTGGAAAGCAAAGATGCAACCCGATCGACCGAGTCAGGCACCTTCGAAATGAGTGCTAGCCTAGCAGCGAAGGAGATGAAAAGCCTGCAGAACACCAAGGGTGAGGTGAAGTTGGAGCACCCCGAGCGGACCGAGCTGAGCAACTTGAGCAAAGTGGCCAACAGTGCAGTCAAGAGCCTGGATGCCAAGCATGGAGAGTTGAGCTCGGAATGCATTGCTCTCGAGAATTGCCCCAAGCTCGCTAGCAAAGCGCCGGAGGTCCGGGTTACCCTGGATGCTCTGAAGAAGTTTGTGGAGGATCTTCGAAAGATCCAGGTCCTGCTGGATCGCAAGCTTCCCACGATGGACGAGGCAGCCTGCAAGAACGAGAAAGCCGACATGGAGCAGTGGAATCGCAATGCCAATGAGCATCTTGACAATGTGAAGTTGTTGCTGAAGAAGGTTAAGGGCTGGCAGGCCTAGGATCCATCGGGCATGAATCTGGATATCATGCAAGCAGCACTTTGCTGCAGTTTTGCGAAAGCAGCTTTGAGGCGATCCACGGCAGGCGAACTTAAAAAAAAAAACAGTGCTTTGCAGCCGCGAGTAGCATGCACTACATATTGTCTTTCAAGCTTTTGCTGAATGTTTTCTGCTTGCAGCCAAGGTCGATCTTCTCGAGCTGCAGACAGGGCCCTTTGCATGCAAAAGGGCGAGTGCAGCAGCAGCTCGCAGACTTCAGCCGACAACTGTGCTAGCTTGCTGTGCATGCAGGGTATAGGTGCTCAAGTTTCTGAAGTTTGTTTCACTTCTGGAGCTGCATGTGAAGCCATGTACTCCAAGAACAGTCGTGGTTACAATGAGGAAGACGTGCCTGAGAAGAAAAGGTTTCGGGCCAATCTTTCGGATGCTTTTTTGTCTGGGCAGATCACAGCTGCCAGGACAGCTTCCCTTTTCAAGGATGCTCAATCTTCTGGTGCCAGTGGTGTGGACGACTTGGCCGCTGTACAAGACAAGAATGCAGCCAGAAGCCTAAGAAGGAAAATGTTGAAGGGGTCCCACTGGCCAGACTGCTGCTATGCCGACATAGAGCTGCATGACCCCAAGCTGCAGGAGAACCGCCAGGTCTCCTTGCCGTTTTTGCTTCCCCATGAAATTCTGGGGAAGCTTTTTGAATTTGGTGACTCAGCCTGGATCCTGAGCCAGGATGTGCTGCAAGAGGATGCTGAGCTGATTGGGAAGTTTTCTTTGTCGTGCCAGCCAGCGAGAGATCCAGCGACAATTCTGCCACTGGGGCTCTGGAATGACGGGGTGCCTTGCAATTGGGACAGGTCCCAAAGCTTGGAAGTTATAGCTCTAAGTTTCCCATCCATTCCTGGCCTTCGAGTGCCGCTGTTCTGTCTGAAGAAGATGTTTGAAGCCAAGAAGTGTACCATGGATGCAGCCATGAAGGTTTTGGTGTGGAGTTTCGAGCAGCTGGCTCTTGGAAGGTATCCTTCTCGAAGGCATGATGGCAGCCCCTTCGATTTACGGGTCGACAAGGCACGTCTTCGTCTAGCTGGGTCAGATTTGCCAGTTGCTTGTTTGACACAAATCAGGGGCGACTGGAAAATGTTCAAGGATACCCTTTCCCTGCCAGCGCACAACGAAAACAATGGTTGCTGCTGGCTTTGTCCCATGACACCTGATAAAGTGCACGAGGTGGATTTGCAGACTTCCTGGAGACATCAATATTTTGATCAGGAGACCTTTATCATGAGGTGCTGGGAGGTGCACAGGTTCATGAGTGCTGTGTGGCAGTTTCCAAATTTTTGTCTCAAGGTCATCAGGTTGGATTGGCTGCATATTATGGATTTGGGTTGTGCTGCAGATGCTGCTGGGGATGTTCTGTACCACCTGCAAAGCAAGATGCCTGGTTCCAATATTACCAAGCGAACTGCAGAGCTCTACAAAGAGATTTCGCAGGAGTACAAGAACCAGGGTGTCGCATCCGATCGACTGGCCACATTGACAGAGACCATGTATCGCAAGGAAGCTGGAAAAGCTCCAAAGCTCAAAGCCAAAGGTGCAGAAACCAGAAAGTTGATACCTATTTTGGATGCTGTGTGCCGAAAGTTTTTGGACAGCTCAGGGGATCTGGATTCGGCAGTTTTGGCTTGCATCTCTTTGCTTTTGGCATGCTATGCTGCTCTGGATGTCGAGCCCTACGACCCCAGCCTCATGGAGCGAGAGGTCAGAAGGTTTGCTTTGCAGTATGTGTCTTTGAGGGATCACTTTGGTGACAATATCGCCTGGCGAGTTAAACCGAAGCTTCACCTCCTCCTGCACCACCTCCTCCTGCACCTTTCGCAGAGCCCTACATGTCCAAAGGACATCTGGTGCTATAGAGATGAAGATTTCGGAGGAGCTACTGCAGCCATGGTAAGGGCCAAAGGCGGCCACAACACTCCGGGAAACTCTTCCCAGCTTGTCCTGGACAAGTTCAAAGCCAGAAACACCCTGCCTGTGCTAGCTGCTTGAAAATGATCGAGCGAGTGATCGACTGCATGCTTTGATTGATTTTAGGATTTGGGATAGGGTTAACGGCAATTTTCTGGAGCCTGCCTCCAGCAAAATCTGTCAAACTTGTTGTTTTAATTGAAAGCTGTCAGCCTTAATTAAGAGACGTACTTTTCATGTTTATTTAAAGCTGAAAGCTTTATATTTTTTTTTATTAAAACACCTTTTATAATGTTTAAATAAAGGTTATAAGCTTTAAAAAGAGTTTAAAGCTTTATATAAGCATGAGGTTTACGCCTGATAGGGAAACTTAAGCATGTCACCTTATTTAAAGCTTATTGGAGCTTCAGGGGCCTCGGGGTTCTTTGTTTGCCTGCAGTGATTAACCTCTGTGAGTGCGTGCGGGACATTGTTTGCGATCACATGCAGGACGGCTCAGACACCTTGCGGGATCATGTGTCATGGCATGCTGGAAATAACCTTGCGGGAATGTTTTGTCTATCGAGTTAGGGCATGTGCACATCTGCGGTCATACTAGGTCTGAGCGTGTAGGATCCGACTCTGTATCATGGCGTCCATCTTGAAGAGTCAAGCGGCTTTTGAGGAAAGGGCCAAGGAATGTGGATTGGCGCAAGCTGAGCTCGATGTGCTTGTGCGTAAGGGACTGACTTCTCTGTCGCTCCTTGCCTTCAGTGTCTCGACCCCGGGTGAAGTGCCGCAGGAAGCTGAGCTCAGGTCCATCCTTGATCCCACGGATCCCACGACTGTGCCATTGCGTGCACTGTCGGCGCTGCGGCGCCTCATGTTTGAAGCTCAAACTTTATCCATTGCACAACTCAAGAGCTCGATCGAGGGTGAAGGTGAGAGGAAAGCGGAGTTGGCTCCTGCCGAACGTGCAAATCGCCTGGCCGATCAGCGTAAAAGGCTCATCGGACTCAGCTTGACGGTTCCTCTGGAAAATGCTTTCAGCAATTACACTTATGTCGCTCAGGTCGTTGATCAGGATTGCCTCTCCTACCTGGAGCCCCACAGGTTCCTAACCAGGGCCATGGAGGTGAATCGAGAGAAGCCGAAAAAGGTGATCTTAGATGAGGGCTCGCGTATGAGTATCCGCGACAAATCCCACAAGGATAAGTGTGGCATTCAGAATGAGCTGCAGCTCTCCGAAGCCCTGTGTCGTAGGTCACTTGCTTGTGATCTTCTGCAGCTCTGCACGTTTGCCTCCATGGACATGTGGCACAGGCACCTGCTTGCCAAGCTGTCGGAACAACCGCCTCCTTACTATGCCAAGGTTTCGATGGAGCAGCTGCTCAGGTGCGACAAGGCGGCGTGGGTGCGCATGAGTGAACTCTTGACTTCTCTAAAGAAGGATGATGCAGGTAACCTTCCGATGGATGCTGCGTTGGACAAGCTTCAGTACGATCCAAAAATCATGATGCATCTGGCCCCGCTTCCTGGGGCTAAGTGGAAGGGCGATGGAAAAGGCGACAAGGGCACCAAGCGCGATGCCGATGGCAAGCCGAAGTTGCCTCACCGTCCCAATAAAGGCACTGGCAAAGGGAAGTGTCCTGAGGCGTTGTCCGACTCTCGCTTGAAGCACAACTGTAGCAAGACCAAGAAACGCTTGTGTTGGAATTTTAATATGCAGGCTGGATGTAAGTTTGCGAAGCCCGGTGAGAGCTGCAAACGGGGCCTGCATATTTGTATGTTCTGCGAGCAGCCCCACTCCCTTCTCCAATGCCCGACTTACAAAGTCAACGAGTGACGGGAGGCTGCCGCTGTTGAGGCCGATTCTCTTGTTGATGAAGCGATGAGCCCTTCGGTCTCGTCCCATGCGGCAAACCATGATTGCATGTCGGCACCGTTTGACCCGGTTGGCCCATTGGAACGTCCCAAGCCAGCCTCATCAGTGCTTGATCGAATTCCAAATGTTGTGATTGATGAGCGAGTTTTTCCCTTGCCCGCTGAGCGGCAAGTGCATGCCTCTTTGCATCCAGCAGAGCAATTTGCACAAGACGTTCTGTCGTCTGGTGAACCTGTGACAGCAACTTGTGTTGAGCAGCTTTTTAATTTGTTACCTTCTAAGTTGGATGAGCGATTCAGTTCGGATTCCGGCAGATCCTTTGTCGCGGGTGTTTTCCGGCATGGGGGCGTCGTTGGCCTCACGAACTCCTGCCGTTCGTTTCCCCAATCGGTCATTTTGGCCATCACTTGGGCCATGCAGCAAGCCGGGAACGAGTTGTCAAATTTCACATTTTGCTCGATTTCTCTGAACCTCAACGTTAAGACTGAAGTTCACCGCGATGTGAATAACGATGATGCTGACAACCTCGTGCTGGCTGTCACCACTTTCTCAGGTGGACATATCTGGGTGCAATCCGAGTCGGGCAGTCATGTGCTGCCTGTCAATGGGTCCTTGGTCCCTGGCGTCTTGTATGATGTTGCAGCAGCCCCAGTGCGGTTCTATGCACGAAAGCGCTTGCATTGCACAATGCCTTGGACGGGCGATAGGCTGGTCCTCATCTTGTTTTCGGGCGGAGATGCCACTCAATTGCCCAGCCTTGACTTTGAGCACCTTAAATCCCTTGGGTTTAGGCCTTCGGTCTCCACGTCCACGGCCAACCCGCCGTTGGCGTATGTACCACCGCCTGCCGGAGCTTTTGAGCCCTTGCTTTCTAAGGTTTCTGCCAAAGTCAAAGGGGTGCCTCTTGAAAATCTCATGTTTCTTGATGTTTTCTGCGGTACGGGGGGACTCTGTGCATCCCTTCGGCAGTTAGGCATGAAGCTAAGTGTCGGTTTAGACCGTCATGCGCAGCGAGGTTGCAAATGTCCCGTTGTCTCACTGGACCTCACGAAGCCAGGATCCCGGGCCATTCTGCTTGATCTCCTCAAACAGCCTAATGTTGTTGCGTGCCACTTGTCTCCACCTGTAACCACCAGTTGTGCCAATCTGATGGGCCCTCGCTCAGGTGGTTTTCGCAATGCAGCGCACCCTGAAGGTCTGCCTGGTTTGCAAGGTACTGATCTTGAATTGGTCCAGGGGGCTAACACACTTTTTGCCATGTGTGCCGAGGTCTGGCATTTCTGTTGGAGCCATGGGGTATTTTGCTCCATTGCTCACCCGAGTCGATCCATCATGTGGCTCTCAGCGTCACTTACCGTTTGGGTCTCCCAAAAGGATTGTCTCGAAGTTTGAGCCGGGCGGGTGGGCCGGGGGAAAAGTTGTGTAACAAAATGAAATGGAATTTTCTCCTTTGTACAGCTTCCGATTCTTGAGTGACTTGCCATATGCAGTTTGGCATTTGCAATCAACTTGAGCCTTTCGTGGCCGGTTTGGATCCAGAGAATTTTGTGAGTGGGGGGGGGCGGTAGACCGTTGGCTCAGCAATGGACTGGGCTGCGTGCTGGTATGCCTCCAGGGAAGAGGCTCGCAGACTGGCGTGGTCTAACTGCTGTGAGTGAAGATCTGGCGTGCGAAGTGCAGAAGTGTTATCATTCTTTGGTACAGTTTGACGGCGCTTTTGAAGATGAGGCAGGTGCTGCAGTGGTGGTTGCTGAACTGCTGGGAGATAAGAAGCCATCGGCGGAGGTGGATCGTATTTCTACATCACTTTGGCAATGGCGAGAGAAAAGGCAGCGGCGGGAGCCGCCAACATCTCGCTTGTTACAGAAAGCACTGCCTGAATTGCCAGTACAGGTGCCAAGGCCTGGAGTGAGCATGCAAGATGTCTTTGATGAAGTCGTGAGCACGACGCCGGCTGTGGCAATCGCCTTGTTGCAGCGAGCAGTGCGTGTGAGCAAAGGTGGTGGGAATCGCGAGGAATTGGAAGCTCGGCTTAAGGAGCGATGGGCACTTGAACTTGTGAGCTACATCAAAGAATCTAAGCTACCATGTGCGGCCCGGATGGAGGCCCTGGGCGATGGGAGCCGGCAGTGGCTACGTGTGTTTGGGAGTCGCAGAGGGAAGACTTTGCGAAACCGAGCACGGGCGTGGAAACCACTCCGGGACTGGCTGGTGGCATCATATGGCATATGGCCAGACATGGCCGACATCAGCAGCGATGGTCTTGAAATACCTGGAGGAGAGGCATGGCACAGTGCCTCTGGGAAAGACTGTTCCGAGCTCGATCATGGCGAGCTTGTCTTTGCTGGAGACGGTGGGAATGGTCGCTTCTGAAGAACGGCTGAGCGAGGACCACTTACTGATCGAAAGCGTGAGATCCTGGACTGCAGAACTGGAGGCAGGGGGCCCAGCCGTGAAAGCAGCACCACTGTTGCCCATTGCAGTGATGCTTGCTTGTGAGATGGTAGTGTGTCGTCCAGTCTATGAGCTGGGACTGCGCTTTACAGCTTTCGTCTTGTTGCTTATGATTTGGGCAAGCATGCGATGTGACGATGTTCAGAACATTGATCCGGAAAGCCTGAAACTTAGCCAAGTGGGCCTGCGCTTTGTACTTCGCAAGACCAAGACCAGCGGTCCGGGCAGGAAGGTCGGGGAACTTCATGGTTTTGTTTCTCGACTTGCTGGGTTGAGTGGTTTTGATTGGCTTGGGGAGGGAGTGAAACTCTTGAACAGCGATTTGCTCTCCTGGTCACATGATTTCTTGTGTCCCGCCTTTAGCAGCGAATGGGATGTGCCATCAAGAGGCTACATGGATGCAGAAGGCCTGGCCTTGCAGCTGCGCCGACTCCTTCAGCATTTGCCCACTCCCGTGCGGCAGCAAGGGGTTTGGAAGGTTTCGCGTGAATTGCTTTTCCAAGGGGCAGTCGTCACTTTCTGGACAGGGCATAGTGCGAGGCATGTGTTGACAAGCATTGCAGCAGCGCTCGGAGTCAAGAAGGACCAACGAGATTACCTTGGGTGTTGGGCCTATGCGCAGCATGGGTCCCAGGACTATGTGCTGACCTCTCGCCAGGTCGTCCAGCGGCCGCGCTAGAGCAGAAGAAGAAGGAAGCCGCGGAGCGGCTCGCTAAGGAAGAGGAGGCTGCCGAGCGGGAGTTCCAGGAGGCGGTGGCCGCTAGCAAAGCCTCCCTGCAGGCCGCAGAGGAGGCCGCTACAGAGATCCGGCAGCTAGGGGCAGCGCCGATCCGGCGCCTGCTGCCACCGCTGCAGCCGCTACCGTGGACCCCACGCCGGCCGAGTCCGCCACTAAGAAGTTCATGCAAGTGCAAGGCAGAGGAGAGAAGGGCGCTAAGGGCAAGCCGGCCGAGGGCAAGGGCCAGCCGGCCGCTACAACCAACGTGTTCGACTACACGTGGGGCACGCTATTTGACGATCCTGACCGCTACTTGGAGCTGCTACGCCGCGAGCTCCAGCAGAAACGCGCTATTGAGCAGGCGGGCGGCATGCCGGCTAGTGTGCGCGCCGCTAAGGGGACACCGGTGAGTGTCGCGCTAAAGGGCCGGGGCCCACGCTAACAGCCTTCCCAGAGGGAAGGGCTACTGGTACCTTGAGCTATCATGGTCGAGCATCGACCGCGATCTCTGGCCCTTGGGCTCGTGGGATCGCCGCTATGATAGGGGAAGGGCAAGGGGCCCAACCCCCGCTATGGGAAAGGCGAGGACATGTGCTATTGAAGAACGCTATCCACCATGGAGAGCATCTGTATACGCTAGGCAGGGAGGACGTTGTATTGATGTGCCGCTACGTCCACCCGCCAGCTAACACCCTCTCAGGGGGAAAGGGCTAGCGAGTTGCTAGCCATGCTATTGCCCAGCTGCTATACCCAGTACCAGGCTGAGCGCTGCCGCTACTCCAATGGAGCAACCGGAGGACCTGGGGGGGCCTCGCTAAGGCCGCACCAGGGAGCACGGCCGGCCTCCATGTGGCAATGGCCGCCGCTAGCCGACCTTCTGAAAAAGGGGCTACGGACAGTGGCTTTCCACCAGGCTAGCTTTGGTACTCCATACGCTAAGCCAACCCGGCTGCTACTGAAGTGTTCTTCTGCTATGCCAGATTTTGTTCATGAAGGTCCGCCGTGCTATGACAAAAAGGGCCGCTACATCGGACCGCTGCCTTCTGCTGCTACACTGGGACGCATGTTCAAACACACCGCTAAGGGCCCCTTCAAAACCTCCGGTTCCGAAAAGTGGCCCGCTAGAATGTGCCGGAGGCCGTCAGTGCGAGCGCTGATAGTCCCTTAATATCTTGAGCGTGAATTTTCTTGAAAAATCGGGCCTGGATTTTTAAAGAAAATGGCTGCCAAAAGTTTTCTGTAGTGTGAGCGCCAAGTGTTGCTATATTGCATCCTCTTGTCACCCGCGCTCGTCATCTCAAGGCATCTCAAAGCCGGTTTTGCACAAACGTCAGTGACACTATGCTGGACTTCACTGAACAAGCCACAAGTCTTGCACATGTAAGGTTGCAGAAATTTTTCTTTCGCCGGGTCGTCCCATGGACTTCGGCGACGCCCTCGCCGCCGGTTCTTCAGGCCGTTCCGAAGACAGCTCTACCAGCACCCGCGAGCTCCATAGCCAGCACATTTACGAACTCCAATTGGAGGTCAACGCCCTCCGTGCTGAAATCCAAACTCTCAGGTCCGCATTGCAAGCTCTGGAACAGTCCCTTGCTCGTGCCTGGGTGAACCAGACCGGCCACCACCAACGTCTCTCGTGGCTCGAAGGGATCATTCAGAGCTTGCGGGCTGCCTGTCGGGTATTTCTTGAGCCTGGCGTGCAGCCTGCCTCACCTTAGGCCATGAATACCTTTAGTGCCAGCATCTTGCAGCAACTTGCTGGTGTCACCCGCGAGCAGCTCGACGGTGCCTTGCCTCCGGCGCAGGCCACTGTTGGGCCCCCTGAGCTTCCGTTTGCACCTGTGCCCGATCTTGGGGATGCCTTTCCTGCAAATCCATCTCCTGCATCTGCTTCTGCGGATAACTGGGGGTTTCTAGGATTTACTGGTGACTTCGAAGGGTTTGCCGATGACCTCGCAGTGCCTGTCTCTGAAGTCGAAGTCCAGCAGCAAACTCACGAGTTTCCACCTTCCCCTCCCGTAGGGTTTAACCCCAATCACTTCGAGGCCCATTTAGCATCCCTCTGCGAGCCAGATGAGCAAGCCCCTTCCCTCTCCCTTTTAGGGTCGGGAGATGAAAACACTGCTTGGTATGAAGATGTTAGGGCCATGAGTGAGTCACATTTTTCATTGGTGCCAAGTGCCAGCAAAAGAGACTTTGGAGAAGAGGTCCGTCCTGGTAGGATTGCTCGTGCTGTGGGCGATGAGCGCTCACGTACTGCCGTGGCATCTCCTGCCCTGCCTTGGGAGAGAGGAGTCTTCAGAGCCATCTTTGGGGATGAGGGCTTGACTAATCCCTTTGATAACCTTGTGCTTAAGATGCCTGGCCCCTTAGTCCCAGCACATGTGCCGCCGGCTGAGCCAAAGATCCCTGAGCCTCCCATACCTTCAGCTGACATCGCGAGCAGGGCATTCAAATCCTTCAAGGATGTACATCCGAGCGACGAGCGTGATATGGTCATGGACCGAGCGGTGTGCAAACTGCAGCACATCATTTGCCGCACCGATGTTGACCGTTTGTCACCTGAACTTGCACAAGCAGCCTCTTCCAAAGATGCAACAGACGAAGTGTTTGGCATTGTGTCAGCTTGTGTAGGTCTTCGTAGTCCTCACACGGTTGTGAAGCGCGCCAACGCGATCCTTGCATACTTGAGATGGTGTGACAAGGAAGGTTACGAGAAGCCATTTTGTGAGGATTCTGTGTGGAGCTTCATTTCCTACTTAAAGAAAGAGAAGGCAGCTCCTACCCGTGCAACCTCCCTCATTTCAGCTTTGCGCTTTGCGAACTTCGTTTTAGGGCTGAGTGTGTCCGAGGTTCTTGCGAGCCGTAGGATTCTGGGCCTCAGTGCCCAGCTGGGTGTCAAAAAGAAAGCGACCAACCGAGCCCGGCCTCTCAAAGTGTCAGAGGTTCGCTTCATGCATGGCGTGCTAGAGGACGAGAGTGCACCAATCTGGGACCGAGCCATCTGTGCCTACCTTCTTCTTGCACTCTACACAAGAGCCAGACACAGTGATCTGGTTCTTGTAGAAGAAGTGATAGCAGACTTTGATCGCCAGTGCAGCGGATACCTAGAGATCCGCCTCAGATTCCATAAGACGGCACAAACCATTGCAAAGAAAAATGATTTGTTGCCGGTTATAGTTTCAAGCAAGGGCATCGTGAAAGGCGACTGGCTGGGGTTGGCTACTGATGTATTTGAGCGTGTGGGCCTCACCTTGGATGGGACTGTCGGTGCGGGCCTCTTCAGGCCATTTAGGCCCGGTGATACTGCCCCAAGTCGACGAAGCCTAAGGTCGTCGGAGTGCACAACCATGTTGAAAATGGTCCTTGAGCGGGCCGGGTCAGATGTGTCAATGGTCACCTCTCACTCGTTGAAGAGAACCCTGCTTGATTGGGGCTCCAAGTTTTGTCTTGATGACGGGATTTTGGCTTTGCTTGGGCGTCACAGTAAGTGTGTCAAAGGAAGCGTGCCCGTCTATGCTAAGGAGGAAGCCTTGAAAGCTGTTAGGGCTCTTGAGCCTATGTGCCAAGCAGTGGCCGCGGGATCGTTCCACCCAGATGCTGCCCGAGCCTTGTACTTTACGGATCCCCCAGCGCCAACTGTGGTGCCACAAGCGCCCGAGTTCAGGGCGGCTGTCAAGGCGAAGGTTGAAATCATCAATGATTCAGCGTCCGAGCGGGCTGAGTCCGAGGGGCAGCACTCTTCAAGTGGCAGCGAAAGCAGCGATTCCGAGTCACAAGACGACTCCGACTCGTCGTCCGAGTCAATTGCGCCGATCAAAGCGCCCCGCCTGGAAATCGAGCAGTGGGATGCCGCTGACTGTGCGGCCAATTCCAGGACCAGGACCCTTCACCTCTTGAAATTTGTGTCTGGAGGTGGAAATCTAATCGCCACGTGCGGAAGGACCTCAGAGGTCATGGTTCAAGCGGCGCAAGCACATATGAGTTTCCGGAGGTGCCGCGCTTGTGTGCGGATTGGGAAGCGCTGAAGGCTAGATGCCAACTTTCCGCCTTTTTGGCGAAGGGCGAAGTGCCAGGACCTAGAAGGTCTTTGATTGCGATTCGAGTCCGGTTAAAGAGTGATCGTCTGCAGTGGGACATGTTGTTGCAAGGGGCAGTGAAGCGCGGCAGTGTTCTGAATTAGACTCCGCTTGACTTGCATTTTTGTGAGTGCAGTGCGAACATTTGAGTTCTGCAGTATTGGCCGAGGATAAAACCTGTTTTGATCATGTCATGAAGTTCATGTTGTGTTCTTCTCGCTTTATCTTAGATCGAATGATGCTCTAATTGCTTTCAGCTGCTGTTCAGGTACCTCGAAGTTTTGACGTGCACAGTGGACTGTCCGAAGCTCCTTTTGCTCGCCATGTCCTCGTTAATCGATAGCGGTGCACACTTTAAAAGGCGTGCGGATGAGGTCGGCCTCAGCAGTGCCGGGTGGACGATCCTTCAAGCCCTTGGCGTTACCTCTGTAGGTAAGGCGGCGTACACCATCACGTCGCCAGGTGAGCCAGTCACCGAACCCATATTCCGAGATTGGGTTGCCGACAATGCTGCAGGTATGACTCTGGGTGATCAATCATGCTTGAAAAGGCTCGTGTTCGAGTCCCAGACTCTGGTCGTTGCTGAGTTGCGCGACCAAGTATCCGGGTCCCAATCGTCTGCCCCTCGTCGTGTTCCCGAGGCTGAGCGCGACCGAAGACTGAATGATCTTAGGGCGGCCCTCCCAGGCATCACGCTGGAGGGCGTGAACATGCCAAGCAATGCCCTGTTGGATTCATGTTGTCAGCAAGAGCGAGACAACTTGCTTAAGTACATCCCGCCTGAGAAGGCCACGAGCCGCACCCATGAACTCACGAATCCCAGACCGACCCATCAGGCGCTGCAGGTCGAAGCATCCAAGATAGTTCTCAAGAGTGACGCTGATGCCGTTGAGTATCAACCGGTCAATGCGCTCCAGACCATGGAGGCCCTTCGGCGACGAGGTTTGGCCATGGTGTTTGCACAGATGATTTCATATGATGCCTACGATCGGTATGTGAATCGTCTCTTTAACCACCTGTCCCGTGACCCGCCGCCAGGGCTCAATCGCGTGAATGTGACACAATTGGTTAACGCCGACAAGCAGGTGTTTGCACTGCTGGCCGAATGGGGTGTCAAACCAAGGAGGGATACCGCAGGCGAGTATCCCCTTGACCGAGAGATGCACCGTGCTTTGGAATCCTACGAGGTATCCATTGCCCTCATGCACCAGGCTCCCCAAGGGAAGTTCCCGTTCAAGATTAACCGCAAGCGTCATCCCTCTCGGCCTTCAACCCCCGATCCTCCTACGAAGCTCCCTAAAGGCAAAGGCCGAGGCAAAGGTGCCAAGGGTGGTCCTGCGATGCCCAAGGAGCTTGTTGACCTGAAGGCAAATGCCACCACGCCTGAGGGTAAGAGCATCTGTTATGCGTTCAACTTGAAGGAGTGCAAGCGCACCGACTGCCCTCATCAGCATGTTTGTGCCAGGTGTTTCCAGCCGCACTCGATCCGCAAGTGTGCTGCCGCCGGCGCTTGAGCGCCTTCGATCCCCTCTGAAGCAGTTTTGCATCGTGATTCACTATTGTCTGAGCCTGCCTCGTCTCTTGTCGCAACTGGAGACCTGGCTGATGCATGCAATCCCATATCCCCTCCTTGTGAACAGCACGCCCAAACCTTGCTTTCCCGCGGTGCCTTGTGTGCTGCGGATGTGTTGGGCTTGGTCTCTTTTCTGCAACCCGAATCACCTCGCTTCCCTGGTGAGTTTAGTTGGGCCACTGGAGCCTATGTGCATGGCGGCATAGTCGGCCTCCGCCACAACCTCAATCATTTTCCACTTTCGTCCAAAGTCTTGGCGAGCTTTGTTTCGAATACATTCCCACAATTGGAGTTTACCTCCATCGTGGTTTTAGTTAACACCCTCACCCCTGCGCACCAAGATCTCAACAACCATTTGGGTTTCCCCAATGCTTTGATTCCGCTTAGTCAGTTTGAGGCCGGTGGCCTTTGGATCGAGGGGGCTGGTGAAGAGGTTTGTCCTGACCCCGGGCATCCCGATGCCAAGGGCCATGTTCTGCAACTGCATGAGCCGATCCAGTTCGATGCGCACCGGCTGCATGCGACCTGCCCGTGGACAGGAAATCGCACTGTGCTAGCAGCTTTCGTAATCAATGATTTCCACAAGTTGGACGCTCAGCACCGCCAGCTTCTTCAGCACACTGCTTTTCGCTTGCCAAACCTGTCTACTGGCGAGCTCCTGCCTTTGCGCCCAAGCATCGCTTCACGGTTCCCAGTGGTCCTTGAAATTTTTGCGGGTACAGCTCGTGTGACCGCAGCCTTGCGTCGCTGTGGCTTTGTCGGGGCCCAAGGTGTTGATCACGTGGTCGTGGATCATGCTGCCTGTCCTGTGCTGTTGGCCGATCTGACTACGCAAGAGGGCCAGCGTTTGACCATGATGTGGCTTTCCAGCCCTCATGTTATCGGTGTCTTCATCGCTCCACCGTGTGGCACAAGCTCTCGCAAGCTTCTCGGCTCTAGCGTTGTTTTCTGTGAGTGTGGGTGGGGTAGGTAGGGGCGGGGTAGGAGGCATCGGCTGTCCGGTGTCTCGTTGCCATAGGGACTGTGGGGCGCGCGTTGTTGGACCCCCTGTTCTCTTTTTCCGGTAAAGTGCGTCTCAGCCGCGGTCTCTTTTAAAACTGGTCAGTGGCTTGCTGCTTCTTTGGCTGGCCCACGGTCTTACAAAATTCCGCTGTCTACTGCACTGCATATCCGGGCTTTTGCGCTTGATTTACTGGCAGACGAGCTTGTATTTTCGCCATTTTCTGCGCAAATTTTGCAACTGGCTACACTGATCTGGGCAGACCTGCCAGCGCTTGACACCTTGGAGTGGGCTGTTGAAGCACTTCCGCGGCCGTCTGCCTTACAACTGACGAGCTGGACCGCAGTACACTATCCTGACGTATACAGTGCCTATTTGGAACGTTTACAGCTTGAACATCACCCGACTACACTGGTACAGTGAACAACATGTGGTCATTGCCATTGACTGTTTTGGTACTGTGCAGCTTGCCGACGTTTCTTCGCGATGTTCCCCAGGCCAGATATTCTTCGGTTCTGGTCTCCTATACAACACAGCAGCAGCCACGTATTCGATCAGGTAGACTGCAGATACTACATCAGCCTCCGATTTGGTCAGCGCCCTACGATTCTTCTCCAGCATCATTGTCATCAGCTTCACTATGTATCAGGCCGGACGACGGCAACCATGCCCAACCACGAACTGGAATGAGGTGGCCGTTCTCTCTACCATTATTGGAGTCGACCTTGAATTCCTGGCCTCTTGCAAACAGGTGGTGGTACATATCGTCAGCTCATCAGGCATGCTATGGCAGAGACATGGTATTTGCTACCGTACAGCTCTCACTATGCTCACGATCAGGTCATCAACGGATTCAGCAGATCCCACATTTCCTTCAGCCTTGGTCAGTGCCTTGTGACATTCCAATGACAGTCTGGACTTTGCTGCGCTTCAGGTCGGATGATGGCCTACATACTCGACGGTACACAATTACGAGATGGCGGTTCTCTCGGCCTCTTCTTCTGGAGTGTGCGTATCACTGGCCTCCGGAGCACAGGTGGTGGCATGTCTTGGATGCTATTCCGGCCGGCCACTCTTGGGCCGCGCACTCTGCAGCCGCGCAACGCTCTGCATGCTTGCAACCAGGTCTGTGCTCCCTTCTGTTGTGGCTCTGGCCTCGATACCTTCATGCGTCGCCTACACGGTTCTCGTATACTGCTGCTGCAGTTGTTCTGTCAGGTCAAAGCAATATGCATGACTTCAGCCGGTGCTTCCGCGATCTCTGGACAAGGCCCCAACCGGGACGCATTTCTTGCATTTCCTGCCTGCCTGCAGCTCCTGGTGTGCCGTGCAAGATCCGTTTCTGTGTTCCCATGCAGCTGCGAGCTCTACCACAAACGGCAATATGCTGGGTGCATTCAGGGTCATTGCAATATATCGGTGAGTACATACATACGTTCTGTGGTGCAGTAATTGTTGCCGATCGACCTCTAGTTGGAAGTACCTTCCATCTGCCGGTGCATGGGCCTATTGGTTTCTCTCCGTCACTGACGGCGGGACTGCTGACTGTCACTCCACTATGCACTACATGCAAGACCCAGTGTACATGGACGGAGTCTCTCGCTTATCAGGTCCGCCAATTGCCGATTGTGAGGTACGAGCTTTTTCACACTCCATGTACCAAAAACGCCTGGCAGATGCGGATACAATGCACCGTCCCGACCTGGCCACGCGTGATCTCCGCATGGCAGGAAGACACGGCGAGAACTTGTGGGTACTGGTATTCAGCTGTGAGGCTACGACTCCGGGCAGGTTCCAAGAAGAGTGGCAGCGACAGTTTGGACAGACTTATCAAGAGTCTTATTTGGCGCGGTTCGGCAAAAGTCCTTGGCTGTGTCCAAATTAGTATGTACATGCAGCCTGTTGCAGTGGGCTCTATTCTATATGACGGTATCGGCCGACGTACAGAAAATCGCTGCTACAGTTCTTGACACGCTTCTGTACCTTCTGTTTGATTCCTATACAACCATTGCTGCCTTCTCGATATGCTACCCTGCCAGGTCGTATGAGCCACTGCTTTCCGACAATCAGGCGATGGTGGTGGTGTTTACTGTCTGCTATTCCAGCTGGACACTTTCAGATTGAGGCTTCAGCAAATGCGCGGCACTCCGCACACACGTACTCAGGTCCTATGCTGGTTCTGCATCAGCCTTCGCATCGGTCTGTGCAACGATCTGGGCCTTGTGCCCATTTCTCTACCTGGCCACAACACGAGTCTCTATCACCCACATGCGATCACCCAGGTCGGCGAATCTCTCAGGTGTGGCTCTGGCCTGCACTGGTCCGGGGCAGGCTCGATCTTTCATCATGTGCTGTCTTCACAGGCCTCAGTGTCCCAGCAAGCGTCCCATATCAAGGTCTGAGGATGCCTATGATCACGGACCCTGGCCCATACCCTGTGACTGCTTTCTTCACTGTGCTGCTGTCCATTGCTCACTGCCCAGGTCTGTGGCAAGCCGATTCTACCAGCCGACACCAGCAGGCTCGACTGCTTCAGCATTCACAATGGTCGGATGTGACTCGCGGTGTGCAAGCCCTTGCACCTATACGTTCCGACTTGCATGTTGCTGTTTGCATTTGGGATTACAGATGTTGCTACGGCCAGTATGTACACAATCGGGCCCTACAGCGATATTGTCGATTCCTGCATTCTGTGATATGTGTCATTTCGGAACACAGATGGTGGTGCTGGCCATACTTATTCCGCGTAGCATTGCAGGATGGCACTCGCTACAGACATCCTGTAGTCTTAAAGAGCAGAGTTGAACCATTTTGTGTGGTGCTTGCAAGCATGGGGAGAGATTCTCGCAGCGCCCCGATGCCTCGTGACTCTGCTGACCCGGTGGAACCATTGGCGAAGCGGGCTAAGGTCAGAGATGCACTGCCAAGACGTCGACCCACTCAGGACTCCGACCAGCATAATCAGACTCCCTCTTCGCAGATGACTCGCACCCCTGCTGGTGCTCCTGCCAGTGCATCAGCTGGTGAGCTCAAGCCACGTGAACCTCTACCACGTCATCGGCAGCTACAAGCCAAGTCCAAGACCAGCAAACTTGCCGATAGCCCAAGGAGTGCAGCCGTGGCTCGTGCACCAGACAATGATCCGACAGCTCGTGGACCAGTTGCATCCAGTATAGTGGTCAGTGAATTCTCGGACGGGGTCCTTATTAAACAAACAGGACTTCGGGCTCGCAGCCCATCCTCTACTCCAGGGACAGGAAGCTCAAGAAGACCTCCGACGCCACCAAGGTGTCTGCGAGAAAATGCTCATGGTATATCGGTCAGTACTCAGACCAGGCGACCAAAAATGGTGAACAAGGCGGTGCAGGTGGGCAAATGCGGTCTCAAAGCACAGTCCAAAGCTCGTCCCCGAAGGCTGGATACAAATGCTCCGGAAAACCCGGAGGAGGCTCCTGCTCCTGGTCCAAAGGACACTCGTGCCGAACGTGATGATCTTCGCCGTCAAGCCGCTGATGCAGTGCTGACAACAGCCCCATGGAAAAGACGCCAAAAAGCCAGAGCAGGCGCCCGCGAGCCTGCCACGGATGGTGTTCCCGAGGGCCCTGCTCGACCGACCACAACCTCAGCCAACCCTGTGGCCAGTATGACTCCTCTTCCGACTACGACAACCTCGCGCCAGGGTGAAGCCACTGGGAAGAATGCTGCAGCATCGAGTACTCCGAGCAAGCCCCTGAGTAAGGTCCCATACACAGCTGCTGGTGCCGACCCACAGGAGGAAATCATGGAGCTACGTTTCGATCAACTTCAGGAAATGCAACGATCCGCAGCCAGCCGGAGACACAGTGTTATACAGCGTGCACGCATACAGCAGCAGCAGAATGCATCTTCGAGTACAGATGTTGCGGATGCTTCGCTATCTCATGCACCTACGACGGTCTCAAATGCCTCCTCTGCATATATGAAAAAGCGTCCACCGTATGCAGCCCTCAGCCGTCTCGCATGCTTTATTCTGTGCGGCTACATTGCACCTGTGACAGGTCTGTACACAATCGTTGCTCGATGTCTGCGTGGTGCCTACAAAATGCAGTGTCCTCTGATCCACATCTTTCTGTCAGGCCCGGTGATCTTATGGATGGTTATATACCTGCTGCAAGAGTTCTGGTCTCAGATTCACTATTGCCTTGCAGAGATTTGTTCGTGCCTGCTACAACAGCCACTACGATCGCAATGGCGGAACGTATGTGATCAGGCCCCTGCTGTTGCCACAGTGCTTTTGTGTGGTACATTTGTTGCCTGGCATGCTATCCGACACACCTGTCAATGGAGTACACACTTTGTGCAAACTGCCTTCTCTTGGATGCGATACCTGCACATCTGGTGCTGCTATGCATGTGGATGCCTCTATTCATACACGAGTGTCTACATCAGGTTATTCGGCACCACTACACTCCGACACACCCCCCCACCAGTTCGCTATTGCCGCCCCGGTCCCAAGTCCGGGGGCCCCTGGGGACTATGGATGCTCATCCTACTGTCTCAGCTTCTTAGAGTCTCAGGGGTAGAAGCGAGGGTTGGAGCACCTTCGGTGGGTGCTCCGGGAGCCGCGCAAACGGTACTCCCCGGTCGCCATCAGGCGAAGCTACACCGACAACGCAAAGAACAAGGAGACTTTATCGTCAAACGTAGTTTTATCAGAGCACAACGTCGATTGCAACAGCATGGGACCACATGGTATCGCAATCGCTTATACACCCGCCACGATGAGCTAAAACCTATACCGCTCCGTTCCGGTCCACAGCCGAATGATCCCAATCAAGCTCGGTATGCCCGGCCTCGCACTGCTGTGCCAAACCTGCCCTCCTGGCCACTTCAGCAGCCCGCACAATCTGTTACTCCCATACAGTCCAGTGATGTTGGCGTGGTAACTCTTAATGTTGGCGGCTTGAGCAAGGAAGGATATGACGAATTGGCACAATGGTTGAATCAACCATCTACACTTGGTAATGTTCAGATTGTATTCTTGCAGGAGACCTGGAGAATTGCATCTGAATTCTCCACACAGCATTGGCACTGGATCCTGTCAGGTGCCGGTCAAACTGCCAAGGCCAATAATGGCAGTGGTGTAGCTGTACTGATCAACAACAAGCTAGCCTCATCGTCACACATTCGCTATCAGGAATGGCTCCCAGGCCGTCTTCTCGAGGTTCGCATTACGGAGGACAAGCGACGTCCTCTTCTGCATCGACCCATCACCCTTGTGTGCGCCTATCAACACTCCAGAATCTCTCACAGTCCTGAGGTGTACGCAAAACGGCTAAGGTTCTGGGAGAAGCTCCAAAAATGCCTGGATGCAGTGCCGACCCGGCACACCCTGATCTTTGGTGGAGATATCAATACTGGTATCTCCCCGATGTCGCGGCTCGTCGGCAAAGGTGCTCAAGTCAGTACCAACCCTGCTCAGGACCAATCCGAATGGCAGGACATTGTACAACAGCACCGTCTTTGTCTTCTGAATACCTGGGGATCGCCGGCCAAAACTGCTACATATGTGGGTGCGGAATATTCTACACTGATTGACTTCCTGGGTGTCAGAGAGCGAGATTCCGGGCATCGCGCCAAACTATCCAGACCACAATCACAGATTCACTTGTTTTCTTGGCGGTCTGGGGCCCGCCACCTGCCTGTGTATTCGGTTATCACTCTCAAGAATCCGTATCATCAAGCAGTGACACCCTCGACACAGTCCCACACAGCCCGTGTGGACCATCTAGGTATGGCTCACACACTGCTGCAAGATCCTCAGCAAGTAGAGCAACTGCGCAGTGTTGTCAGAAAACGGCTGACTCGTGCTTTACAGGACCAGCCCGTGGATGCAATTATGCACCCTATGCACATTGACGCCATCCTGCGACATGGATCCCAGGAACTCTTCCCGGGCACACGCCTCGGCTCTCGCCCGACGGAAGTATGGGATAACGAACAGACTAAGCTCTCGCTGAAACATGTTTGGCAGGCACGTGCGCAACTTCGCCGACATACCCTTGGGCCTCCACTTCGTGTTGCCTTTCATCTATGGCGTGCTCACTGGCGACTTGTCAAAGCCCGCAAGGCGCTGCACTCACAGTCCAACAAAGCACGTCGTGATAAATGGGACCAACAGCTTACTGAGGCGGAGGAGGCCTATCACAAGCATGATTCTCATTCTTTCTTTGCTGTTGTGCGTAGACTTGCACCACGTCGTCCACGACAGCGCATTATGATGCGCAACAAGGATGGCACACTATGCACACCACAGGAAGAAATTGGGCTGATTCATGACTACTGGCGCGGTGTATTTGATGTTCCGACACTCCCCAAATGCTCCGGCTATCTGTGGCATGGACTCAACATTACCACAAAGGAGGTGGAAATGGCCATCAGCAAATTATCAATGCGCAAAGCCTCGGCCCCTACCTCGGCTCCGCTCTGCAGCTGGCGTGCTTGTGCTCCTGACATTGCTCCTCTTCTACAGGAATATTTGGCACAGCATTGGGGTGAAGGAGAGCATGCAGGTGATGAGGACATTGCTAGATTGCTAGATCCTGGCTAGTCTTTCTGGGTAAGCCAAATAAACCCAGCAGCAAGCCCGAAAACCTTCGACCTATTGCTCTACAACCGGCTCCTGCCAAAATCATGGCCCTCCTTTTACGCTGGCGACTGCAACCGTATGTGGAGCAGCTGCTACACCAGTGTCCACAGTATGCATACACCAGAGGGAGAACCACTACGGATGCAATATCCCGTATTGCCCAACACTGTGATTCTGTTCGAGCCAAAGTCAAACAGCAGACACTTTCACTACATGAACGACGACAGGGCGCTGTACGAACCGTATGCACTGGTGGTGCTCAGCTAACCGTTGACTGCTCCAAAGCTTTTGACAGTTTACCTCGTTGCACTATGATGACCATGTTAACATGGGCTGGTGTACCACCCGATTTGGCCACTGCTATCATACAGGTCCATCAGGCTGGCACTTATCGTCATGGAAACGTGGACGACCCTGACTCCTGGATGGATATTGACAGTGCTCAGGGCGTGAGGCAAGGCTGTATGCTTGCCCCATGCCTGTGGCTCTTGTTCGTCGCATACCTCTTCCATCACCTGGACACGACAATGGGAGGAGCAGATTCATGGACATGCCAGCACTCCACTGCCTTCGCCGATGATCTTCACTTCAAGTGGGATCTTGACGATCCCAAAGCCCTGGATCGGATGAAGATGGAGGTCGCCACGGTACTCTCAGTGCTCAAGTCCTTTGGTCTTCAGATCAGCGCAGAAAAATCCACCATGTTGATCGAGATCCGCGGAACAGCAGCCGATGTTTGGTTGTCCAAGAACGTCTACAAAGATGCTGAGAACAACAAACACTTTCGTTATGACACGTTTGCCAAGCTCTCTATCCCGCTTGGTACCCATTTCAAGTATCTTGGGGTCATATTATCCTATCGCAACTACGAGCTGGCCAGTGTCAAACATCGTGTACAACAGGCTGCCATCCACCATTCCCGTCTTCGTCGCATTCTGCAAGGACGCGGGGGCATCAGCCGGCATCAACGACTTCGACTATGGCGTATCTGCATTCAGACAAGCCAGCCCTACGGACTAGAGGCCACAGGTGTCACTGAGGCGGGGATCAAATTACTACATGTTCAAATGCTTCGTCACCTAAGGGCCATTACAGGTCGACCCAGGCATCTTGATCGCAGCACTGATCAGGAATTGTTGGACAGTCTCAAAATGGCAACGGTCAGGCAGATGCTATCTCAACGACTTCAGTCGGCAAATACCCGTCTTTGCTCCAACACTGAACTGCCATGCTACGACAAAGACAATATTCTGCGACGTATTCAGGCCTTACAAGCAGGTATTGACCAACCGATCTGCACACAGCGGGTCTCTACCGCCTCGACTGCACCTGTACAACAGCCTCAGCATGATGTTACGCCGCAGGAGCAGAAAGTGCGACTCCAGGAACTACCCGCTGACACCAAGCAATTTCGATGTCAGGTATGCGGTCAGTCTTTTCCGTCTTTACATTTGGTGAAGACCCATGAAGGAAAAGCCCATAAGATCTTGGCGCCGAAACGGGAGCTGCCCCAGGATCGCTCCGTCTACTCCATAAACGGACTCCCGCAATGCCGTTTTTGTGGCTACAAATTCACGAAATGGAGTGGCCTCCAAAGACACATACAGCGGAACGGCTGCCCGATTCTTCGCCATGAAGATCCCGCCACCTTTGCCACAACCGGGCCCGCAACTACAAACAAGGCTGAAGATCCTCTTCGTACTACACAACATGCATGGGTGGCCGACTCGACCATGGCCACCACTATGCCTTCAACTGGAGATCAACCTTTGGTCCAGGATGCGCAGCTACAGCAGGATGCCAGCAAGTACACGTGGACCAAGGTGCTTCACATGTGGCGTACAAAACATGACTTCACGAATGTGTGTGTGTTCTGTGGTCAATGGGCAGTGGACGCCAGTGCTCTCAAACAGCATTATGCCAAGCAGCATCAGGCACTCACCAATCCGTGGATCGCAGCATATCGGGCCGAGTGTAAGCAGCTAGCTAAAGTTGCCGTTTCTAAGTGCCGCTTCTGTGGTACCACCACCACGGATGCTCGTCAGCATGCCCACAAATGCATACATGTTTTTCAGGCCTACATGCTTACCAGCCACGTCTCAGGTCGAAATGGAGGACATGCAGGACTTCGATGCCGAAAGCCAGATCCAGAGCCTCCTCGGGGGCCTCTCCTCAGTAGTGGACCTCAAACCACTTCTGAATCCAACGCCAACACCGGCGCGCAATCAGTCCCATCTGACCAACAAGCGTCCGAGGGCGGAACAGTGGACTCGAGGCACCGGGAGCAAGGGCGGCGGCAAGGGCAAAGGAGTGGCCTCCAACGGTACTTTATCACAGGAGGATCTTCAACAGCTCCTCAGGCAGATCGTCATCCTTCTCCTACGCCAAGGCGACCAGCTCAATCGGCTACAGACGGATACAGGATACTATTTGGTCTTTCAAGTCCCGGGCGATGCCACCATGGTACCAGTTCTGATTGCGGGAGCGCTCGAATGGCGCAATCAGAAGAAGGCTGACCCGACCAAGCTCACCATGTCTCTCCGCATAGCCCTCATCGGACTCTTCCTCAAGGAGCTTCAGATGCGTCTGGAAAAGATCCGGGCCAACGACCAACTTCAGGAGAAGCTCAAGGAGCAAGGCCTGATGACGGACGAAGGTGCTTGGACATATCGCCAATGGTGTCCCAAGAACAAAGCACTTCAGCTACAGCTCAGCCGGGATCCGATCAAGTGGGACGTCCTGATGACACACATCACGAATGCTCTACAGGGACTGAACAATCAGGACCACATCACACGCCTTGGAAGAAGAAACTTTTCTGCCTGCAGACTTTTCTTTCTTTGAAATCGGCGACAGGCCGCAGGCCGTGTTTGACAATTGGCCACAGCACATCATGCTATTTATTCCCCCCTTTTTTGGGGTGGGTTTTTCATGCAGAACATTTGACATGCTTCATCGATTTTTGTTGCATGTCCATGTTCCTTGGCATCTCTGATGATACTCTTGTTTGTGACGAAGTGACTGCTCGAGCTGAGCTTTTAAAACTTTTCGTCGTGGTCCCCTCTAGAGGCTTGTAAAACAGTGTACCAGGCCTCGGGTGCTAATCACGGCGTTGTAGCTTCTTCGAGGTCTTCGGACCTCGCATGGACTTAGAGCACCAGCTCCGCTCCGGCGCCTAGTCCTCCTGTGGCTGCTCGAAAATCTGCAGGTCCGCGGCTGGCAGTCTGAAATCTTGCGGCCTGAAAGGCCGCGACAGGTGGGACTTCTTCAGCTCTTGGGAGCTACTGCGCCGGGAGCTCGCTTTCTGCTGTTTCTGGGATTGGACAGTTTCGAGGCTTTGTGCTTGAGCTGTCGGGCTGCGTATCACATTTTTGCCTTCGTCCAGCAGTCTGTGCGGCGCCAGCGCCGCCGCCTCTCCGGGTTACACCTGCCCTTGTGACTTCTGGGCCTTTCTGCTGTCAGAAGCTCCTGGGATGGAAGGGGGTGAATCGGCAGAAGCTTCTTATGATGTTTGGGGGCTGATACAGGATGGCCCTCCCGCAGCCGGGGACCCCTTCGACGAACACCTGGATGGTCTACTTCGGGATGACCAAGAGGATGTTCAGCAGTTGGACATCGTGAGTAGTGAAGGATTAGCAAGTCATGCTGAGAGCGAGATTTTGGATTTTTCTGCGGATGAGAGAGAGTGGTATTCTCAAGTTCAGGACAATGACTTGGGAAGCTTTGAGTGCGTGGAAGAAGAGATACCTGCCTCCTCTCCTGCTGCTCCGCTACTTTTGCCAGGATCACAGTCCAATAAGCTGTCTTGGCTTGAGGGACCGATGGCTGAGCTTGATGCTTCTCAGATGGTGGCTGCAGCAGTTCACAAGAGAAGGAGGTTCGAGTTACCACGTCAGCCTTGGGAGACAAAGCCTTCACATCTTGATCAGTGCTCGGATTTTTTCTTGAAGTTTTCGACTTCTGTCGGGGTGAGTGAAACTTTGTCTATGGCAAGAGACAAGGATCCCGAACCTGATGCTTTTTCTCACATTCCTTGGACGGTAACCAGAAGGTTGGCCAGAGCGAGGCTGCCGAAATCGGATGCAGACATAAGAGATTCTTCTTTGAGGAGGTTCAAGATGCTTATCTTGATTGACCCTGAGGCCACAGCCTTAGGCAGCAGCCTGGTTGATCAGGGTAAGGCCATGGAAGATGAAGAAGTCATAATGCAGAGTCTGGCAGACGCCTTCAGGGGAAAGGCATCCTTGACTTTGCAGAAGAGATCCTTGTCACTTCAGGTTTTTGTGGTGAGGTCCTATGATGCTTCGCTGGACTCACCATGGCGGCTTAACGAGGCTCAAGTCTATGCTATCTTTGCTGGATTTCGGGAGCATGGTGCTAAAGCTTCTACGGCCTCTCATATCTTGGAGGCTTTGAGGTTCTTCCATGCCATAGCCCGCTTCAAGTACATGGACCTGGAGGCCATCTTGTCTTCGAGAGTGCGTGGCGTCGCACAAGACTTGAAGCTCAGAAAGGCTCCTCTGAGGCAGAGAGATTCCCTCAGTCGTCGGCGAGTGGAGGCATTGGAGCTGCTGATGGAGAGATGCTCAGATTGGACCCGATGTGTAGTCGGGCAATTTCTCTTTTGTATACACACATCTTGTCGGTGGAGCGATTCACAGAACGTTCAGTCTTTGACTCTCACCTCTGATGGAGAAGGCCAATTGCTAATTGCAGAGGCTCTTGGATCGAAGACGTCTACCACAGTAGAGGCGAAGACGCGCCTGCTTCCGTATGTATGTGTCTCCACTGGGGTGAGCAACACGCCGTGGGCGCAGCTCTGGTTGGAGGCACGTGAGAGAGAAGGCATCCAGTTCGACCGGGGGTGCTTACCTTCGTGGTCGCAGAAGTGGGGATGCTGGGGCCAGGAGAGAATGTCATCCGAGGAGGCCAGCGACATCTTGATCGACGTCCTAACTTCATTGGACATGGCCCCTGGCCCTGATGAGTCGATAGGGACCCACAGCTTCAAGACCACCTTGATCACGTGGAGTGGGTGGTCACCTATAATTTCTTTTACTCCCAAGGAGAGGTTGTTGATGGGACATCACCTCAGGAAGGGCGGCCCTTCTTCGACTCTGATTTATAGTCGTCAGTTCTACATCAACTTGTCGGGAAAAATCCTGGCGATGTTCAGGACCATCCGCCAGAACCAATTCGATCCGGATGCCGAGGTCACGGACAGGGTCGCGGCAGTGGCATCAGCACTTGCAGGTGACGCGACGGCTTCACAGGCTCCCGCTCCCCCTGAGGATCAGCACGTGGGTGCCGCCGATGTGGAGTCTTCTGAGTCTGCCGAGTCAATTGTGGGGTATGAGCCAATGCCGCGTTCCGGCCAGGAGCTTAGACCGCCTTTCGAATGCACCGTGGCCGAGCTTCGTGTGCATAGCCTGTCTGGCATCGTTCATCGACTCAGGGACGAGGGCACTTTCTTTTGTGGGCGTCCCCTGACAGACAGATACAGGGACTTCGAGGAAGACGATGCCGATGACCCGGACACCTGCCATCAGTGCAGGCGGGCGATGTCGAGCGCTGATTGAACAGATACTATCGAAAGAAAAATCGGCCGAGCTCGGTGGTGGTATGTACCATTGCGAGTCTTTTGCTTCGCCGGCTTTTAGCCCGTGGCGAGCTTGTGGTATGGTCAACTGCGAGAAATAGACGTCCCGATCCTTCGGATCCGTGGGACTTGCCTTCCCCAGTGAGGAGTGAGTTGCATTCGACCTTTACGTGAACTGTTGGGGCTGTATAACGTGGCCCCTGAGAATACACATGGCACCGGTCTTTGACCCGAGGTGACAGACTACGGATGCCGGCTTTCCGAGCCCGTGGCATTCCGAAAACCCAGACCTTGTTTATTGGAGATGTCGCGGGCTGGATCTGAGGTAGGACTGTGAAACGCAACCCTGCCGTATGCACCGGCCTATGGCCCGTGGTGCCAGAAGTTTTGGCGAACATGCTTAAAGTGACGTTGCTGAAATCGCGATGTTGGGTTAGCTGTGCAGCAGCTTGGCAACATGTCAAAGCGTGGATCCGGCGCCCGTTGGCTCAGACAGTGGCCGAAGCATTCTGCTTCGATACTGTGACAACGGCCGAGTCCGAGTAGCCTGCAGGCTGAGCCATGTCCTCTGTCATATTGGACAGTGAAGCTTCGTTCCGTGAGAGATGCAGTAAAATAGGCCTCAGCAACGATCTTCTCGGTAAGTTGATTGAAGCCGGCTACAACACATTTGGAAAGCTCGCTTTCGCCGCTTCTTCCACACCGCAGGGTTTGACAGACGAAGCTGTCGATTCATGGCTAGCCACTGTGGTCACCCCGTCTCCTGGTTCCTTTCAGGTTTCGGTGATCCGTAGGTTGCTTTTTGAATCGCAATCACTCAATGTGGCGGATCTCAAATCTAGGGTCGAAGGCACGCCGGAAGGTTCCGTGCGTCGCCTGCCCCAGGCCGAGAGAAAGGAGCGCATCGAGGCGCAGCATCGTAGGCTGTCGGGTCTCATTCTGACTTCGCATACCACTCCTGCCCATAGCTGTATCGACCTTGTGACTGACATGTACGAGAATAACACACTCAAGTACATTCCGATTAACAGATGGATATCCCGCTTCCAAGAAATGTCTCTTCAGAAGAAGGATTCTGCCGTTCAGATGGACAACGAGGGCAACTTGAAGGTCGTCCAGAAAAAGCCGGAGCCGACGTGCGACACCACTGGCATGTACCCTCTCCGGCAGGCCTTCCAGAGACGGTCGTTAGCATTTGATCTAGGTCACTTGTGCAGCTTTGAAGCAATGGAAACATGGATCAACCAACTCTTCGAGGCAGTTCAGCGTACCGTGCCAAAGGGATATGTAGCAGTCAGCTTGGGACAAGTCGTTACGGCAGATCGTGAGCTTTTTGTCCGGTTGGCTGACAAGCTTGAAGGACAATTGCAGAAACCCATAGGTGTGGAGAAACCCATGGATGCAGCTTTGCGTGACCTCTCGGGTAGCCAGGAGATAAATCAATTTCTCCAGCCGCTGGCAGCTCCTCCTCCTGCACCACATCCCACGAAGCGCCCTTTCAAGGAGCTTGCCACGCCTAACAAAGGCGACGGAAAGGGCAAGACATCCACCAAGGGCGGCGAGAAGGGCGGTGGCAAGGCACCTCGTGTAACCATTCCGGATGGCTGTGCGGCCAAAGATCCTCAGGGCAAGCCGAATTGTTTTGGGTTTAACTTAGGCACGTGCAAGCTCAAGGTGACGAAAGGAAGATGCCCGCGAGGCTTTCACCAGTGTTGGCGATGTTTTGGGGATCACCCCTTTACTGAATGCACAAATCAGGTACAGTGATGGGGCCATGCGAGGCCCCAGGGGCCTGACCTCGTGGCCACTTCGGATTCTGCCCCTAGTGATGCTGAGGTCCTCGCGCAGGCCATTTTGGCCAGAGGGTCAGGGATTACTAAGCAAGATGTTGTTCAGATTTTCGATCTTTTGCCCAAGGAGGTTCCTTCTAGAGGAACCTCCTCGCAGCCTCCGAGCAGTTTCAGTTGTGGGGCCTACGCAAAGGGTGGATTGCAGGGTCTTCGGAGTGAATGTGCGCTGTTTCCATTCTGCATAAAGCTCCTCACTGCTTTTGTTCGCATTTTGCCAGAGCATTTCTTCACGACTATCAGTTTGTTTCACAACACCAAAACCGATTTGCATGTCGATTCCAGGAACCATCATACCCCCAACGGGGTCATTGCCGTGACTTCTTTTCAAGGAGGTGGCATCTGGATTGCCGATGGATGCGGGCCTCACAAACGGACAATCAAAGGTGACATCGTGAAAGGCTCAATCCTTAGCCTCGAGACCCCGATCACTTTTGATGCCTTCAAATACCCTCACGAGACGGAAAGCTGGGTTGGCGATAGATTGGTTTGCGTGGCCTTCACTGTCGCTAGTCTTGAGAAAATCCCAACTGAGTCAGCCAGGACCCTGCTTGATCTAGGGTTTAGGCCCCCGCCTGATCTTTCCTTCCCCATTCCTGTGACTGCCCAGGAGCAGCCGCCTGTGAAATCAGACTCCTGGGTTTACGAGCTCTTCGCTGGCACTGCCCGCTTCAGCAAGGCTTGCAAGGATTTGGGTTTTCGGGTTTTAGGGCTAGACAGTTCTTGCCATAAAGCGGTCTCTCCTGTGGCCAGGCTTGATCTGACCTTAGATTCGGCACAGTCGATCTTTTGGGATCTCATTAAGGAGTGCCCTCCTTTTCACGTGCATGCATCGCCCCCTGCGGGCACGGCTTCTCGCTCTCGTGAGCGGCCCTTGCCAAAGAATCACGCCCTTGCCTCTAAGGCCCCTAAACCTTTGCGATCCGATGATTTCCCACTAGGCCTACCGTCACTGAGTGCAGCGTCTCAGCAGAGCCTTGCCGTGCGCAAGGCCAATGTACTGTATCGCTTCGTTTACAAGCTTCTGCTACACTGTTCTGCTTCAGGCATCAATGTCAGTGTCGAGAATCCCCGGACTTCGCTTTTCTGGAAGGTTCTTCAGTGCTTTGCCGAGGCCGAGGGCTTGCTCTGGCCTCCGGCCGCCTTGGAGTACGTTGATTTCGACCAGTGTTGTCATGGTTCCGATCGCCCGAAGTCCACTCGTTTCTTGTGCACTCGAGGCTTGTTCCACTCGCTTCGAGCTACTTGTCCAGGCACTCACGAGCATCGCCCGTGGGGCCTTGTGTTCCATGAGCGTTCTATGCAGTTGTCGTCTTCTTCCGTGTCGGCATACCCCGTTCTGCTTTGCAAACGCATGGCCTCCTGTCTGGAGAGCGCGGCTTTGTTCCTGGGTCTGTCTTTGCAGGCCTCTCGTGACCTGGCAGCCAGCTCTGTTGCTGTTCTTGGTCGGCAGCACCGCCGATTTCCCCCCTTGATTCCTGAGTTTCGCAAGGTCACTTGGGAGCCGCCCTCTTTCCAGCCTGACGACTCTTGTCGCATCCTTCTCTCTCAGATTGCTGGGGAGGATAGCGGGAGAGAGAATGCAGCCGAGGACGCCGACAAGGAGGTGAACCCTCCTACAAAGCTCCCCAGAGTCGCAGATAAGGTGTCCAGCAAGGTTCACTCCTCGGTTTTCCCTAATAGTTCCGACCCTCCCCAAGGTTCGGTTAAGGTAGGGTGGTACTTGTCGATGCAGGATCACGTGGCAAAGGCCTTGACCTTAAAGCATCCCGTCGACACTGCCGTAGCCCTTGATCAGGATCAGCTTGATGCCATCAGCTTCTGCATGAAAAACACAGAGAAGGAGGTGGTAGATCATCGTAAGCTTCAACTTATGAAGATAAAGATCCTCGCCAAAAAGTTTGAGGCCGACGAGGCTCGATTGCATTCTTCTTTCGACCCTTGGTTCGAGAAAGTTGTGGCGGGAAAGCGTCTTCTTCTGTGGAAACACCTTCTTGAGCAGAACAATTTCGATGACATGCAAGTCTGCGATTTCATGATGTCGGGCGTCCCGATTGTTGGGCAGTCAGCCTGCCCTCAGCCTTTCAGCAGAAAGATTGTGCCGGCTACCATGACGGAGCAGGATCTCAAGGGTACCGCTTCGTTTCGCCGAAAGGTCATGACTGGATCCAGTGGCATGCAGGCAGCCGATCTGCAAGACTTGCTGTCGAAGGCTACGTTGGACGAAGTCGATCTGGGCTTCCTGGAAGACCCATACACCGAGAGCCAAGTGTCTGCTTTCTTCCACTCTGACGATTGGAACTGCATACGAAGATTCCTGATCCTTCAAGGAGCCGAGAACAAACCTAGACCCATAGATGACGGGCATGAGGCTTTGATCAACAATTGCTTCACGGCCACCATAAAGTTGGAGCTCCAGAACTCTGACTTTGTGGCGGCTCTAGCGGCAAGGATTGCCATCGAAGAGGCTGAGAGATCTCGCGCTACAGGCGAGCCCCCAAGGTCGTGGCTGGGCAAGTGCCTCGATTTATCGAAGGCGTACAAGCAGATGCCAATGAAGAAGGAGCACCGCTCTCTCGCTGTGATCTACCACAAGGGCCCTGCAGGCGAGGATCAATTCTTCATTGCAAATTCGCTGCTCTTCGGACTCACTGCTTCGGTTTACGGGTTCGTGCGCACGAGCAGAAGCCTTCACAAACTGCTGCTTAAGATTTTCAAGTTGCCCAGCTCAGTGTACTTTGATGACTTTCCGATGTTTTCGACATCGCTTTCTTCCAGTGACACTGACGGCATCATCAGCGAATTCTTAGACATTCTGGGCTGGGGCCATGCCAAGACAGGCAGCAAATCACATCCCTTTGCGGAAGTTTTCTCCGTTTTGGGAATGCAGGTCGACTTGAGCAACTTGTCGAAGAGAAGCATCGTCCTATCGAACAAACCTGGCAGGATCGATCGGATCGTGGAGAAGCTTGAATCAGTGGCTGCTTCGGGTTTCCTTACGATTCATCAGGCCCAGATTCTGCTGGGCTTGCTCAACTTTTCATCGGGTTTCTTTGCCGGTCGTGCCCTCAAGCAATCTTGCAAATGGCTATCTGGTTTTCTGGCCGGAGACAGGCCTTCGCCAAAGACCGTCAGCGAGATGTGCAGGCACACGATCAAGATTCTTTTGAGCACACCGCCCCGCTTCATAAGCTGCGATTCGACTGGAGAGCCTCCTATCCTGGTATGGACTGATGGAGCTTGGGAGCCTGCCAAGGCCTTCGCCGGGATCGGTGCAGTAATTCTTGATGCGAGCAGCGGCGTATCTAGAGTTTTCCAAGGTCAGGTTCCTGAGCGCCTCGTGGTTCGCTGGCGTGAGGAGGTCGGGGAGCAAATCATCTGCGAGGTAGAGCTTTATGCTCTCCTGATGATCAGGGCCGGCCTTCAGAATTTTCTTTCAGGAAGACGAATCATTTTCTTCATTGACAATGATGCCGCTAGATCTGTGGTGCTGCGCGGTCAAAGCAGAAGCGACGCGATGCATCGCTTGGCCATGGCTTTGTCCATGGTCGATGCCGTCGCCCCTTGCATATCGTGGATAGAGAGAGTGCCATCATCTTCTAACATCGCGGATTGGCCCTCCAGGGGCGAAGGTTGGAAAGCGCAGAAGGTCGTTCGCGCAGCGAAGGTGGAGCCTTACTTCGTCGATCAATCTTTGATTGATGCTTACCTGCTCTGAGTTCGTCGATCCGAGGGGGTGTGTTCGGGACAAACTCTGAGCGGCTTCAGGCCCGTGCTCTTCGCATCGGCTGCGGCCCGGATGCCATGGTTCCGAAACTGAATTCGTTCGAACCCCTGATCGCTGAAGAGAAAAAGAAGAATGCGCGACCTTCTCTGCTGCCAACTTTTTACTTTGAACGGGAAATACATTTGAGCCTCGAGCTCGACTCTTTTGATTGAGTCATATACTTGTGAGTTGGATTCATTTGAACATATCGGATTGCGAAGTTTTTAATATATTTATCGTGTACTTCATTGCGAGAATACCTTGTACACGATTGCCGGTAAGTGCATCTTTCAAACATCGCTGATTTTAAAGAAGAAACTTTTCTGCCTGCAGACTTTTCTTTCTTTGAAATCGGCGACAGGCCGCAGGCCGTGTTTGACAATTGGCCACAGCACATCATGCTATTTATTCCCCCCCTTTTTTGGGGTGGGTTTTTCATGCAGAACATTTGACATGCTTCATCGATTTTTGTTGCATGTCCATGTTCCTTGGCATCTCTGATGATACTCTTGTTTGTGACGAAGTGACTGCTCGAACTGAGCTTTTAAAACTTTTCCCCGCCCGCCCAGCCCAGACATCTACGAGGGGGGGGGGTGTGTTCGGGACAAACTCTGAGCGGCTTCAGGCCCGTGCTCTTCGCATCGGCTGCGGCCCGGATGCCATGGTTCCGAAACTGAATTCGTTCGAACCCCTGATCGCTGAAGAGAAAAAGAAGAATGCGCGACCTTCTCTGCTGCCAACTTTTTACTTTGAACGGGAAATACATTTGAGCCTCGAGCTCGACTCTTTTGATTGAGTCATATACTTGTGAGTTGGATTCATTTGAACATATCGGATTGCGAAGTTTTTAATATATCTATCGTGTACTTCATTGCGAGAATACCTTGTACACGATTGCCGGTAAGTGCATCTTTCAAACATCGCTGATTTTAAAGAAGGACAGATGGGCCCCACCCTTCCATTCCTTCTGGACATCTCGCTCAAGCCGAGTGCGTGCCGTCTACACCAGAGTATGAGGGCATTGGTGGACTGCTCGGCCATGGAAGCAGTCGGCGCACGTATTCGACCCCAGCGAGCCAAGCGATCTCAGCTCCAGGATCAGCTCCAGGAGTGGCTGCGAGGCAGGTTCTATCATGTCGGTTGCACAATCCACACAATATCTGTTATGCCAACTCTTTCTTCATGGCACTTGCATGGCTATTTGGTGAGGTCTCGATCTCTGAACATGCCCAGGCTCTATTTCAGATCTTGTGTTTTATCTGCCAGCATGGTCTCAAATTGCTGTGTCTGCCTGATCACACGGCTTTTCAGGCATTGATTCAGGAATGGCCACATTTTGACCGGCAGCAGGATGTGGCAGAGTTTGCGCAACATGTCCTCGATCGTACATAGCCGGTTCAGAATGTGCTTCCAATGAGTACTTGGCAGTCTCGTGACGAATCAGGATTCTCAACCGATGAAGGTCAGCACCTCATTATGCTTCCGATGCCCTCTCGCGGTTCAAACTCAGAGATTCAGCTGTCAGGGCTGATACAAGCCTGGGCTCAGCAGTCTCCTGCACCAGGGCTGTGGCCATTGCCTCGGTTTGTGTGCCTGCAGCTTCTTCGCTTTTATACGGTTGGTGCCAGAGTTCGCAAGGACCAGAGAGCAGTAACGATTCCGCTTCAGGTACGCTTACCAGTATTTCAAACAGTGATTGGACCGCGACCAGCTTGGCGTATGTATAGACTCAGAGCCCTTATTGGGCATCACGGCTCCACTCCGCGCTCAGGTCACTACAGAACGCTGCTGATTCACTGGGAGTCCACCCAGGAAGATCCCCAGTTGTATTACACAGATGATTCCTGTATGGCGCGTCGCCCCACAAATGCACAACTCCGTGTGTTGATGACTGAAGTCTACCTGATCTTCCTGGAGTGCGTGGGGTATGTCAGCTCACTGTAGATGCGGTAAAACAACCACTTGGGTGCTGCACTGTACATGCTTGCATGCCTTGCATTATATCAGTGCTCTCTTGATTCGCCGCCTTTTTCCGGCTTTTCATGCATATGCCAGCTTTGAACGCGTGTGCAGGTCATTATGCTTATCTTTTCTACATGGCGACTCACACTTTGGTGGGAACACCGACGGATTCAGCTGCAGTTCCAAGCCAGGATGCTGCCAGTATGTCCTATAATTTACTACATGACGTGCCTTTCGGTATTTATCAGTCCAGACAGCGGGCCCAGTGGATGGATGCCAGAGGCACCTACAATTCACTGGATGATGTACCACACTGTCTTCAGAACCGATGCACGACAACCAGTTTTCAGGCACGTATAGCATCCAGCAGTGGTTCACGTGGCACACCTGCGCAGCTATTGGTCCTGGTTCCGGCAACATCTGATTCTCTGGATGATGTACCACATTGTCTTCGAGACCGAGGAAATGAACCTATCTCGTGTATCACGATGGATATGCTACATACCTGGGCCGATCAGCCTGCCTCTCAACTTCTTACTCCCCACCACCTTGCTCAATTTTTGCATCAGTGGGGTTTTTCAGCCGTGGATATTGTTGAATGGGGCATTTATTACTACTTTGAGCAGGCTCCATGTACGGATGCAGAGTGGAAACAGGCGCTTCTTCAGCAGCTGCACCGCAATGTTTATCAGCTTTCCATGTCTGGTGCCATATGCTATTTCAAACAGCTGCTAGTGGGTGCCCATCGGGAGGACTTTTTTGAGGAGCTTTACACGGTGGCATGCCGTCGCATTCAGCTGGATGATCCTACTACTACTATGACCACTGTTCTTCACTGGCTATATATACTGGCCACGTATGGTACCTTGGTCTGATGCCTCAACAGCTGTTTCTTTGATTGCATGGCCTTCACAGTCTGGTGGGCTATGCTATCTATCAGCTTCCGATCCACTGCTCTTCAATCTTCTGTATGGTGCCTCTGATTTCGATGGTGTTGCTTCATCAACGGTCTATTTCCAGCATGGGACTTCTTTGTACATGTACATACGGTCGAGTAGTCCAGTCCGTCTGGTTAGACCAATGCCATGTGTACAAAGGTCTAGTAGTCCAGTTCGTCTGGTTAGACCACGGTGTATATACGATCGAGTAGTCCAGTTCGTCTGGTTAGATCGATGCCATGTGTACAAAGGTCTAGTAGTCCAGTACGTCTGGTCAGACCGATGTGTACATACGATCGAGTAGTCCAGCACGTCTGGTTAGATCGATGACTTGTGCTCTGTCTCACCTTTGTTAATGCTGACGTTGGTTTTTAAAACCACTCCTGCAGTGTTTGCCCACATGTGGCTAGCCCGGTGGGATTCACTGCTTTTGCTCACTCTGAGCCGATGCCACTGTGCATTGTAGCGTAGCGCGAGACTGCTGGACAGTTTGCGTCATACAAAGTACAAAAAGTACACAAGCTCTCGCGCCCGAGAGATTGCACTCCCTGGGCCTTCTCCCGCCCCGCTGCGATCACTCACTTTTCCCGACGGGCTGCCCCATCTATCTGGTCTCAACCTGGTGCGCGTCAACCGGGCTAATCAGCTGTACCACTTTACATCATCGCCGTGGAAAATCCGCGGAGCAGTCTCTACTGGTCCACCAGCTTCTGGGCTGCTGCGGCCTCCTTTTGTCCTATGCATACTGATTTTCAACACTGTGCCTTTGGCGGTCGCCGGCCCAAGTGGACTCGCCTTTGCCACAACCACCAAGCCTTCCATGCTTTGCATCGCGTCTGTCCGGGCGGTGCCTGTGCTGCCCAACATTTGCCGTGGGGTCGTTCTGAAGACGGCTCCTTTGCCACCGCCGGTGAAAGCGCTTACCCGCCGCAGCTAGCCACCGCCATCGCTCAGTGCTTTGCTCGAGCAGTTACTTTTCTGCCTGAGGCCGAGCCCTCCCTTGCAGCCATGAGGGCCACTTCCGGCCTTCAGCCCAAAGCTTCGGCGGTGCCGCCCCTTGTCCCGTGTGCTTGTGATGACCGGCCCAAGTGATGCCACTTCCTTGCCGACCCTTCGCGCCCGACTGCCCGAGCCGTGGTCTGACTCGCGCTTCGCGCCTGCTGGGCCCGTGCCAGCCCACAGTCAATTACTCCGAGCGGATAAGAAGGGAAGTGATCGACTTGAGTTGGCCTGGGGCATATCTTGGTCTCCAGAAGAGTTCATACATAAAGCGGTCCAAGCGGGACATCCCAAAAAGTTTGACTCGCTACTGCCTTCTGCACTGAGCCACAGCATAGACGTAAATGCAAAAACAACGCCGGCCGATAGAGCCGGCCTCAGAGCCGAATGGTTTGCAAAGTGGACCAAACGTGCGGCTGAACTTTCGGGGGACGAAAAGAAGCTCAAGAGCTCTCTCCCCGAGTACGCCAGGAAGATCGTCCTACCAAAAAGGATTTTATTGTGGCGTGAGATTCTAGAGGATCTCAAATATCCTGACATTGGAGTGCTGGACGAAATGCTTGAAGGAGTGCACTTGACAGGTCAGACCCCTTGCACAGGGGTCTTTCCTGGGGCCTTTAAGCCAGCAAAAAGGACTTCGGAACAGCTGCGCTCCAAAGCTAGTGAGTCCCGCCAGAAGATCATCGATGCGATCAAATCGCAGGGTCACCTGGATGAAGCGCTAGAGCAAAAGGTCGACGAAGAAGTGGAACTCGGCTGGCTGTCCGAGCCGATAGACCCGGCCGATTTGCCGGAAGACGCCACAATCAGCAGGAGGTTTGCGATCGAGCAGTCAGGTAAGATTCGCTTGATAGACGACCTGAGTGATAGTGGTGTTAATGGGTCTGTCCAAACCACCGAGAGCCCCAAACCTCAATCCCTTGATGTGGTGGCCGCCATGGCCTTGGCCTGTCTTAGACAGCTGCCTGGGACTCCCATGCTAGGGAAGACGTTCGACTTAAAGAGCGCATACAGGCAAATGTTTGTGTCTCCGGACGACCTCAAGGAAGCTTACATTGCATACTTCAGCCACCGCGAACGCAAAGTGATCGTAAGGCAAATGCTTGCGCTCCCATTCGGGGCGACCAGAGCGGTGTTCTCTTATTTGAGAGTGGCGCACTCTATGTGGTACATTGGGTGCTGGGCACTGAAGCTGATTTGGTCGCATTTCTTCGACGACTTTCTGAGTCTGGCGACTCAGATCGAGGCCAAAGCAGTTGACCTGGCGATATCATCATTGTTCAGGTTGCTAGGGTGGAAAGTCTCGGAGGACAAAGACAAGCCCTTTGCTGAGAGTTTTGCTGCGCTTGGGGTACGGGTTAGCTTTGAACGATTTTTGCAAGGGGAAGTCCTGTTCCATAACACGGACAAGCGCATCTTGGAGGTCTCGGCCACGCTGCGCCATGCAGCTGATGATCCGGCTCTCACCCAGAAGGACCTGTCGCGCATTCGGGGTCGCATGGTCTTCGCAGGGGGCCAGCTCTTCGGAAGAGCCGGCCGGCTATGCGTGGCCGCCCTAGCTGGTGAAGGTTGCTCGACCAAGGCTAACCTTAGCAACGACGCAAAGCAAGCCATGCTTCAGTTTGCCGACCTGCTTGAAGCCAATTGGCCGCGCGTGCTGAGAGATGTGTCGGCAGATCCTGTGTATATCTTCACTGATGCCTCGTATTCCGAGGTGAGTGGAGGTACTTTCTGCGGCATAGGCGGAGTCTGCTTTGACCACAAAGGTCATCCCCTTGGATTTTTCTCCGAAGAATTGTCCTGTTTCCAGAAGCGTCTACTAGGAGAGGGCAGGTCCAAGACCATCATCTTCGAGGCGGAACTTGCAACAATCGTAATCGCTTATGTCTTATGGAAAGATTGGCTTAGGGGAAAACCTGCTGTGATTTTTGTGGACAATAACTCCGCTAGAGACGTGTCAATCAGTGGCACATCACGGAATGATGTAGGCAAATCGCTTGCATCACTTCTCTTAACAGTGGAATCCTTAGCCAAAACTTTTTCGTGGTTCGCTCGCGTTCCGTCACCAGCGAACATCGCAGACACGCCTTCGCGTGAAGTGCTGAAAAGCTTCACCGTGTCAGGCCGCCCCGTCCCTCACTTCCCGTGCGAGGACATCGTGTCCGAAGTCTTGGGCATCTTAGTCAAATAATACAACGGTTAAGAAGGGGAAAATTCTTGATTTCGGTTTACACATCCTTTTGCAGGCGATGTTTGTTCCGCCAGGCGATGACGTTCCGCCATCTGTAGCTGCAGGTTTGAGGCTAAATGCCTCATGGCACCAAGGTACCCCTTGTCACCGCTGGTGAAAAACGACAGAAGCTTTCAGGAGTGCTGTGTGTGTCGTGTCTCTCTTGAGTGTGAGCGTCGCAAGCCAAGCCACTAAGCCTTCAAGTGCGACCCCTAAATCGGCAGCCGTTTATGCTCAAGATATTAAGGAGGCCGTCAGTGCGAGCGCTGATAGTCCCTTAATATCTTGAGCGTGAATTTTCTTGAAAAATCGGGCCTGGATTTTTAAAGAAAATGGCTGCCAAAAGTTTTCTGTAGTGTGAGCGCCAAGTGTTGCTATATTGCATCCTCTTGTCACCCGCGCTCGTCATCTCAAGGCATCTCAAAGCCGGTTTTGCACAAACGTCAGTGACACTATGCTGGACTTCACTGAACAAGCCACAAGTCTTGCACATGTAAGGTTGCAGAAATTTTTGTTTCCCCGCCCACCCACACCAATTGCATCTCAGACCTTGCGGCGAGTGACGCCCCTGCAGCCGAGTGCCGCATGCGTGAATCCAATCCCTTTGCACACCCCTGCCGATCCGGTCAGCGCGACCGCGCGTGCTTCGCTCATAATGCGTTCTCGGGGAAAATTCTTGATTTCGGTTTACACATCCTTTTGCAGGCGATGTTTGTTCCGCCAGGCGATGACGTTCCGCCATCTGTAGCTGCAGGTTTGAGGCTAAATGCCTCATGGCACCAAGGTACCCCTTGTCACCGCTGGTGAAAAACGACAGAAGCTTTCAGGAGTGCTGTGTGTGTCGTGTCTCTCTTGAGTGTGAGCGTCGCAAGCCAAGCCACTAAGCCTTCAAGTGCGACCCCTAAATCGGCAGCCGTTTATGCTCAAGATATTAAAATGGTTGGCATTTTGGACTCCTGCCAGCACCCTGCTATCGCTGCCCGCGCTAGGCCGGAGTGCCCGCTACCCGAGACCTTCCCGACCTGTGAGCCGGAGGGACCGCTAGGAGGTTCAGGACCACCAAGGACCTGTGAACAGGTAGGTGGCAACAAGAGCTACCGCGACGGAGGGGGCCTCTGCTCCCCAGGACGTTGGCCCCACGCTGCCCGCAGCTACGCCGAGGGCCCCAACTGGGACTGGCTACGGGAAAAGATGATGGAGGTGATCCTCGCTAGGGTGGGTTCTGAGGCGGAGCTAGAGAAGGAAGCCTTTCGCATGGCTGCCGGTGGGGCTAAGCGCTGCGCCCTAGCTAGCTCCGAAGAACTCCAGGAGCAGCTACGCATGGTCTGGAAAGAGTGGTTGGAGGCTAACGACCTGGGAGACCCGGAGCTGCTCAAGGTTGCCCCGGGGCAACCGCTATACCTTCGCCTTATCAGGGCGCTACTGACCGCGGCCGGCGACCCCGACCGTGACTTCCTCCTCCAGGCCGAGGAAGGGCTACCGGTGGGGGTGAGAGATCCGCTACCCCGCACACCCCACGTCTTTGAGGAGCAGCTAAAGTGGCCCTTGGAGAATGCACCTTGGGAGGCGGCGCTAGCTTGGGTCCCGAACTACGCCTCGGTGGAGGAATACCGAGAGTTCGCTAGGGAGAAGTTCGAGGAGGACGTGGCGGAAGGTCTCATGGCTAAGATGACGCTAGGCGAGTTCAAGGCCCGCTACGGTGAGCATCGCCGCGCTAGCGGTTATCGTTGAGGACGAAGCTAGTGGCAAGAAAAGGATGATCCACGATGCTACCCACGGGGTCCGGGTCAACCACCGCATCAAGTGCCGGGACAAGATCCGGGCCCCAGGTGCCAGGGGCTAGGGAAAAGAAGCAGCTACTCCGTGAACACATCGACGCTAACGAGGTGGCCTTCTCCGTGGTGGGCTTTAGCAACGCTACAAGCATGCCGAGGGAGAGCATGGCTATCTGGGGTGTCAGATCGACACCGAGGAAGCTATACCGGGGGACACGGTCTATGTGAACCTGGTGGGGACCTTCGGGCTATCATGTGCGAGCTACTGGTGGACCCGGATAGCGGCGTGTGGGCTTCGGCTCACGTACCACCTGCTAGGGCCATCGTTCCCGCTAGACATGCTACTCTATGCCGACGACCTCGAGTCTTTGGGCCGAGGGGCTAGAGGACGCATGGGGATCCCGCTAAGCTATCTCTTCCTCGCCAGTCTTGGGTACCCTTTCAAATGGGCCAAGGCGAGGGTGGAGTGGCTAGGCATGGAAACGGAGTACTCCACGCGGCGGCTAGGCCCCTAGGCTTGTCCCAGAAGAGGACCGACTGGCTAGTGGAATGGCTCCGGAAGCTAGTCTGTGAAGGAAGGTGCGAGGCCCGACCTGTCGCACAAGGGCTAGGACGTCTGGGCTTTGCCTCCATGGCGCTAGACTGGGAGCGCCCCTTCCTTGGCCCGCTACACGCCTGGTCCTCGGCTATCCAGGGGAAACCGGGACTCCTCACGCTACCTACGATGATCCGCGTTCTCTGTGGATGGCTAGCGGACCGCTTGACCGTCTCCAGAAGCCGGCTTCGCTAATGGATGGGGCGGCCCCACTCTCCTTCTACACCAACGCTGAGGCCGAGAATGGGCGTGCCTGGATCGGGGGCTTCCTCGAGCTAGTGGACGGCTGCCACGGTCCTTGGTTCTTGTTAGAGGTGAAGAAGGAATGGGCCCCCTGGGCTTTCGCTAAAGGGGACCCGAACAAGGTCATAGCCGCACTGGAGCTACTGGCTACCCTGGTCGGTGTGAGGCTCTGGGTCCCAGAAGGGGATGCTAAGAAGACCTCCAAGGTTGCTATCGGTGGCTACACTGACAACCAGTCCAACGAGGCGCTACTGAGGAAAGCTATGACGACGAAGTTCCCATCGACCTTGGTGCTGATGGAGCTAGCAGAGGAACTCTCCGCTAAGAACTGTGAGCTCCAGCTACAGTGGATCCGCAGGGATCTGAACCAGCTAGCGGACGACCTCACGAACGAGAACTTCGCTAGTTTCTCCCCGGACTTAAGCTAGAGTGGCGTGTGCTGGGCCGTCTCCTCGAACACTCGGCTAGCTACTTTCAAGAGCTAGGAGTGAGGAAGAGGACCAGAGAGCCGAAGGCTCCGAGGTTCGCTAAGAGAGCCCGTAAGCTAGGTCCCTGGTAGCCCTACGGCTGCGCAAGGAGATTAGCTAGCCGAAGGCTAGAGTTCTTCTCCGGGCTAACGCGGGACTTCGCCACAACGCTAAAAAGAGAGAAGTTCGTGTTGTCCGTGCTACTGCGTGAAGCCAGTTAGCTAAAGCTAGGCTTGCTACGTACTCCCCGGAGGTGTTGAGGGAGGTGGCGGGAGGATACGCTAGCTAGTGTACGATGTGGGACAATCTTAGCTTTGCCATTTTCCGAACATCGGCCACGAATGTGGAGCCGGAATCATTATCAGTCTGCACCCCTCGCTCTAAAAAGAAATAGTGCCGTGCGAGTGTTTCAGTCCGTGAGTGCAGTTGTGATTACAGTCATGTACATGTGCTTCATGCTTTGTAGTGCGCTTGGCTTGAAAACATAACCAAATAAAGCTGGTTGCACCGCAATGCGAGTTCACATCCGTATCTGTGCACCGGAACTTGCAAGCCCCAATGCATCAGGACTCCTTCAACAGCAGCGTGCCTAACGTCGTTGTGCCACTGTCCTCCTTCTCTGGAGGACACATCTTCGTCGTGCATCCTGAGGGCCCAGACCAAACATCCTACGAGGGTGTGCCGTGGACAGGCTTCAAACTCGATTGCGCTTCTCATGCTTGGGCTTTTGATGCTAAGCGTTGCAAACATTTTACTTTGCCGCGGAAAGGCTCCAGATCCCTTCTTGTTGCCTTTACCGTGGGTCACCTCTCGGGTTTAGCTCCCGGTGACAGGGATTTCTTGACCTCCCTAGGGTTTAAGGTTCCCCGCCAGGATGTCCAACAGGGCCCCACCATGAAGCCGTACCCTTTGGAAGGCTACGATTTGCGGTGTCCACAAGTGTCCACCGATTCGGCGCCACTGGCTCAGCCGAGTCCGGCCTTCCCTTCTGCTGAATTGCCCGCCGACGGACCTCTGGTGATCGAGCTGTGCGCCGGGTCCGCCATCCTCAGTCAGACGGCCGCAAGCCGCGGCTTTGCAATCATGCCCGTGGATCATGCGCACAATCGCCACGCTCCCAAGTGCAAGATGGTAAATCTCGACTTGACAAAGAGCCACTCCTGGGAGGTCCTCAAATTTGTCATCAAATCCCGTCGGGTGGTGATGGTGTTCGCGGCTCCGCCTTGCGGCACCTGCAGTGCTGCTCGCAACTACCGCCCGGGACCCCCAGTGCTCCGCACCACTTCACATCCGTGGGGTGTCCCGTGGGCCTCCACCAGAGACTGTGTCAAGCTTAGAGCTGCCAATGCCATATATATGCATCTTTGTGCTTTTCTTGAAATGTGCGATCATCACTCCGTGCCTTGGTGCGTGGAGAATCCTCCCAACAGCATGTTCTGGGAACTACCATGTCTTGCGTACCCTTTGGCTCATGGTTTCTTCGCACATTGTCAGGCATGCGCTTTCGGCAGCGAACGCGACAAGAAAACTTCCTTCCTGTGCAGCAGCTCGTGTATCTCTCGCATGGCTCTCTTGTGCCCAGGCTGCAAACAACATGCATCGTGGGGCCAGACCTCTTCTGCCACCTTCGCCACGGCGGAGGAAGCAGCCTACCCGCCAGCCATGTGTCAAGCCTTGTGTGACGTCTTTGAGTCTGAGGCTGCGCGCCTCAACTACGCGTTGGGCTCGGCTCATCCAGTCCTGGCCCGAGCCCACAAGCAGCCTCGCGGGCGCCTACACCCGCAGCTCCTGTCGGAGCACAGTGCAATTCTTTCCCGCCTCCTGCCCCGGGCCCCGCACCTTAATTACAAGCGCTGTCTTCAGCATGATGTTCACGGCGTCCCGGCCGGCAGCAAACTCTTGCGTTCCGAAAATAGGGGAAGTAAGGGTGTCTTTTGTGTCTTTGGAGTCTTTAGGAGCCCAGAGTCTTTCGTCAGAGAGGCTAAGCTGCTGTACCATCCGTTTGATTCCCTGGCACAGCTACCAGACTACTTGATCAAATCTCTGTTTGAGCAGCTAACAAAATCCCCTGCGGTGATCTGCAAGCTCAGACTCCTTCGCCTTCAAAGATGGAGAGCCAGAGCGACGGAGCTCGCGCCAGTCGAGCATGCCCACCGCGCCAAGATGCAACCTTCCGTGAGGGAAATCCTCGCCGACAAGCGTACGGCACTCCTGGAGGAGATGGCTGCCGAAATAGATTGGCCGGACAAGGGTCTCTTTTCAGAAATGCGCCAAGGCTTCCGACTCGTTGGTTGCCTGAGCCCTTCTGGTGTGTTCAGGGAAGGAGGGTACCTCGCCTCCATCAGCGAATCGGAGTTGATGGAAAATGCTGATAGCATCAAAGCTTCTCTCTTGTCACGTGTGTCATCTGATCCTCTTGACGAGAACGCTGAGGAGCTGTATGATGTGACTCTTCAAGAGTCAACCCAGTAAAAGTGGCTAGACGGGCCTATGTCTCCAGAAGACATTGGAAAGCGATTTGGGGCATGGATCCCGGTGCGCCGCTTCTGTGTTGTGCAAAAAGGACGCTTGAGACCGATCGACGACTTCAAGGAGAATCTTGTAAACCAAGCCTGCTCTACAAGCGAACGCATCGTGCTTCAGGCGATGGACCATCTTTTTTGGTCTCTTTCTGTGTTGTGCCATTTCTACCGGAAGCGAGGAGCCGTCGATTTCACTTTGTCCTCTGGAGAGAGGTTGACGGGGCACGTCCACCATGACTGGCAGAAACCGGGGGCGAGCATGCAAGTCGCCACCTTGGACTTGAAATCGGCATACAAACAGCTGCCTTTAAATCCATGCGACTTCGACAAAAGCGTGGTGACCTTGAAGGATCCGAAGACAGGATCCATCTCGTGCTTTGTCATGCGCACGCTCCCGTTCGGAGCGCTTGCATCCGTATACCACTTTCTGTGTGTCAGCTTGCTATTGCATGCCCTCGGTTGCCACCTAGGAGCGTGCTGGTCCGCATACTTCGACGATTTCCCTATGGCAACGCATTCGCTTGTGGCCACGTCAACTTCGGCTCTAGTTAAGGGGTTCCTTAAGTTAGCGGGGTTCGACTTTGCAGAAGAGAAGTGCACGCCTTTTTCTTCTGACGTCGAAGTCTTGGGAGTTACTCTGGATGTATCCCAGAGCACGGAGGGCCTCATCAACATCCGAAACAAGCCTTCTCGGTGCGAGGAGCTGAATGCCGTGATTGAGGAGGTTCTCAAGGATAAGTCCTTAGTCCCCTGCCGGTTGCCGTCCTTCATAGGCAAACTTCAGTTCGCCGACGGTCAAATCTGGGGCCGAGCTGGGCGCATGGCCTTGCGTGATCTAAGGACTTTAGGGTTCACTTCCAGGGTTCCGGTCTCTCTTGACGCCAGCGGGATCGATGCGCTCAAAATCCTTCAGCAGAGATTGATGCGTGGAACGCCCCGCGTCATCCGTGCCGGATGGAAAGAGAAGCCGATACTGCTCTTCACTGACGGAGCACTGGAGGACGACAACCAGGATCACGGACCGGCCGCCGTAGGTGCGGTCATGTTTAAACCGAATGAGCCCAATGTTTACTCTTTCGGGTGCGAGGTGCCGATCGATGTACTGTCTCATTGGAGGTCCGACGGCAGGCATCATGTCATAGGTCTCGTGGAGCTTTACGGCGCCGTTCTGGCTCTTCGGCACTGGCGTAAACACTTAGACGGCAGCCGAGTGATTCTGTTTATCGACAATTGGCCTGCACTTGATACCCTTGTCAAAGGTGATGCCAGCCTTGAAATGTGGAGGGAAATTCTTATGGTCCTTGAGAATCCCCAGGAGGCATCTCCGTGCTTCTTATGGATAGCACGCGTGCCTTCAGCCTCCAACATCGCAGACTCGCCGAGCCGCGGATCGCTTTCCGAGCTTAGCCAATGGCCTCTACGTGTTGAGGTACCCAAGTGCCCGCTGTCGAAAGTTGTTCTGAAGTCGATTGTGTCATCATGCTAAAGCAGACTGGGGGATTTATGACTGGAGGTGCGCGGTCAAACCGAGCACGTCAGAATTGAGCTGTGGCTCATGTGTTATGCTGGGCCGAGGGGGCCCAGCAATGCGATTCATCCCCAGTTTGCCGATGCGTCCAAAACAATCGAGTGAGCAGCTTGTCAGCAGTCACAATTTTGATATGTTTCGCAATATGTTTGCGCGCCCAAATATCATTTCGGGCAATACTGATTGATGAATCTTACTATTGTCTGATGTTCGCTCTTTCCTCGAAGGGGAATATACATGTCCCATTAAATACATTGAGTTTGTTTCTATGATGCGATATTTTGAAACTCCGACGAACTTCATAAGAACTCTGTCGAGCGCGCACGATATACCTTTATGAAACGTCGGACAGCCTTCCATGGGAAGGCGGTTTCAAAAAAAAAAAGAGAGTGCATGTTCTCTATCCGATTCTTGATGGATCGTTTGCCATGTTTGCCACTCAAGTTTTCATGTCCTTTTCTTTACCATGAATTTCGGTGGGAATTGTTTCATGGCCTCATGCCGCTGCCAGTTTCCTCAATCAGTGTGAGTGAGGAAAACAAATTGTGTCCCACCCACCCAACCCTAGGGGGATTTATGACTGGAGGTGCGCGGTCAAACCGAGCACGTCAGAATTGAGCTGTGGCTCATGTGTTATGCTGGGCCGAGAGGGCCCAGCAATGCGATTCATCCCCAGTTTGCCGATGCGTCCAGAACAATCGAGTGAGCAGCTTGTCAGCAGTCACAATTTTGATATGTTTCGCAAATATGTTTGCGCGCCCAAATATCATTTCGGGCAATACTGATTGATGAATCTTACTATTGTCTGATGTTCGCTCTTTCCTCGAAGGGGAATATACATGTCCCATTAAATACATTGAGTTTGTTTCTATGATGCGATATTTTGAAACTCCGACGAACTTCATAAACAATCTAGATCTTAGTGGCCACGAATCTCGCAGTGCGTCAGGGGTCAAACATAATCATGAAAACAATCGCTCGCTAGAACGCGACAGCGGCGACACCAGCTCCGAAACGAAACTCGGCGTCAGTCCCGACAAGACTACCGTCGATGGATTCACTCTGTGCTGGAGAGTGGGAAACTTACCCTAGCCCACCCCCGCGGCCCCTGGAAAGGGTAAGTAATAGCCCTGAACAACTCCGCCGAGCATATCATGACAAGCGCTTCCACCCTACCATAGGTTCGCGCGCTTCTGTTTTCCACTATTACGTCCAACCTTCTCTGTTGGACCTACCTTCGCGCTATCTGTCATGGCGCCCACCCAACAATCGGCTACATATAGCCACCTGGAACATCGAAACCCTAATCGGCCTGGGTAAGCGCCAATCCCAGGAAAACAAATCCACGGCTTCCAATGAAATTTTTGCCAAAAGTGGTAAATTTCTCCTTTCTGGTATGCCGGATGATCCTGCAGCGGGCGTTGGTTTTTATATCACGCACCGCACATTGCCATTGGTACAGGATTTCATCCCGTTTTCCTCTCGCCCAGCAGCGCTGGTGCTGCGCACGCAGCCCTACCCTACTATCATACTTACGGTCTATGCGCCATCCAAGCTCCAGGATGCCGTGCAGGATCTTAAACGCAAACCTTTTTGGGAAACCCTCCCGGAGTACTTCAAACAAGTACCCAGGCCGGCCACCGTAGTGCTGGCGGGCGACTTTAATGCTCGTATTGTCAAAGAGGATTTTTCAGATTACTCAGAATATATCGGTCCAGCCGTTCTCCCCACTGACTCCCCTTTTGATGAGACAACAAATTATGCATTTCTTGTTGAATTCATGATCGCTGAAGATTTTCTCCTTGTTTCTTCTAAATTCAAACGCCCCCGCTCCAAGCTGATTACCTACAGCGAGATCAATTCTAGCCCCACCGCCACACCATACTCCCCCTCGGTAGATGACTTTGCGGTCATCGACCATGTCCTGGTCCACGACCCCTCCCTTCACCAGATCACAGCGGTCTCCTCTCAAGTCGCATGGCAACTGCCATGGTTCCATCGCCACTACCCGGTCACCTTCGCTCTTCAGTATGATAAATTCGCCAGGGTTACCCACCCACCAAGACCACGCAGGACCCTCCCCACCACACCAGAGAACAGTTTGAAATACATTGGGTCCTTCTCGGGCCCTCCCTCCCCATCACCTCGCTCCGTTCCCTTGCCGGGGGCTATACAAGTTTTTACCGACGGCTCCTGCCCGGATCAACGCAACATTGGCCCGGGCAATCCCGCCGGATGGGCCTTTACTTTCCTCAATTACACCAGCGAAGACCCCAAACAGAATGCATCGAATCATACCGGTTCAAGTTGGAATGTGTTGGATCCCAATCTGGCTTCGCCAGCAGATTTTGCGAAGAAGAATTAGGCATTGGGCGATATATTTCTGCGAAAGAAGAGTGGGTGGTGGGACTCAAGCATGTGGGAAGGTTTTTGGGAGGGCCCAGGGAGCATCGTTCAGAGGATCTTGCTGCAACACCATGCACGGAAAACATGCACATTCTCCCGCAACTGCCACATTGTTGCCGCCTTTGCAAAACAGGATATCTGGCCTCTGCTGCAAACGTTCGCGGACGAAGCGCAAAAGAGCTTGGTGTTCGCTTCGGTTGGCTGTCGGACGGGAAGAAAACGAGAACTTTGCCGTGCATGTTTTGCCGTGCATGTTTGGCAAGAAAGGTAGGAAGGGATTTGTCGGCTTACAAGGCAAACAAAAAGCTCTCTTAACACCGAACCATTCACGTTTTCTCTGCTGACCGAACGAAGAGCATTGTCCACAGGATTTTGTTGCCGCAGGAACTGCACAAAAAAACGCAACCTCTCCACAATTTTCATAACATTACCGTTTTGCAAAACAGGATTCCTTGCCTCCGCTGTAGACATTAGAGGAAGAAGCACAACAGAGGGTGCTATATGGATCGGTTGGCTGTCGCACGGGAAAAAAGTGTGAACTTTGCCGCGCAATTTTGGCGAAACGAAGCGCGCACAGGGGTGCGTCGGCTTACAACAAACAAAAATCTCTCTTTACACGGAACCATTCACGACTTTTTCCGCAGACTGAACGATTATCCATAGAATCTTGCTACCGCAGAAACCGCGCACGGAAAAAACACGCAACATTGCCTTTTTGCGAGACAGGGTATGTGGCCTCTGCTGTAGACGTCTGTGGAAGAAGCACGAAAGAGGTTGGTATACAGATCGGTTGGCTGCCACACGGGAAAAGGTAAGAACTTTGCCGCGCGAACTTGGGAAAAAGAAACGCAAAGGGGTTTGGCGGCTTACATCGCAAACAAAAAGCTTTCTTTACACGAAACCGTTGACGATTTTTTCCGCCGACAAAACGAAGAACGTCGTCCACAGGATCTCGCTGCCGCAAAAACCACGCACGGAGAAACACACAAATTCCCCTTTACACGGAACCATTGACGATTTTTCCGCAGACAACACGAAGAACGTCGTCCACAGGATCTTGCTGCCGCAGAAACCACGCACGGAAGAACACACAACCTTCCCGCAACTGTTACAAAATTGCTGCCTTGCAAAACAGGATACCGGATACTTGGCCTCTGCTGTAGACGTTTGTGGAAGAAGCATAACAGAGGTTGGTTTTCGGATCGGCTGGCTGTCTCACGGGGAAAAGTGGGAACTTTGCCGCGCAATTTTCCCGAAAAGAAGCGCGCACAGGGGTGCGTCGGCTTACAACAAACAAAAATCTCTCTTTACACGGAACCATTCACGACTTTTTCCGCAGACTGAACGATTATCCATAGAATCTTGCTACCGCAGAAACCGCGCACGGAAAAAACACGCAACATTGCCTTTTTGCGAGACAGGGTATGTGGCCTCTGCTGTAGACGTCTGTGGAAGAAGCACGAAAGAGGTTGGTATACAGATCGGTTGGCTGCCACACGGGAAAAGGTAGGAACTTTGCCGCACGAACTTGGGAAAAAGAAATGCAAAGGGGTTTGGCGGCTTACATCGCAAACAAAAAGCTTTCTTTACACGAAACCGTTGACGATTTTTTCCGCAGACAAAACGAAGAACGTCGTCCACAGGATCTCGCTGCCGCAAAAACCACGCAGCAGAAACACGCAAGTTCCCCTTTAACACGAAACACACAAGTTCCCCTTTACACGGAACCATTGACGATTTTTTCCGCAGACAAAACGAAGAACGTCGTCCACAGAATCTTGCTGCCGCAGAAACCACGCGATTTTCGTTTTTGAAACGATTTGGTTTGCTAGCCCTCAAAGCCCGGAAGGCAAGTTTTTGATTTTCAACACATGCCTTTTTCCTTTGCGCATGCTTGGGCGTGGCAGTGTTGAATTTCGCTTTCGTTTGCCTTTTTGGTTCAAGTTCCTTGACTGGTCAAATTCTTTTCATGAGCCTTGAGATTCGACGTGAGTGCGTTCCCTGAGGGGCGCCACTCCGTCACACGTGACGTGTGTCAGGGCTCTCTAGAGGCTTTGCTGTCCTGTGATTTAGTGTTGAGCTGCTGGCATGGCGGCTCTTCTCTACTTGTCGCTGGAGCTGGCCTTCGATTCAACAGTGCCTCCGGTGATGATGGCGTGGTCGACGAAGCACTTTCGCTTCGCTTTTTGGAGGCGCCTGTTTCGGGCTTCATCTCTGATGTCCTGCCACTTAGCGATGAGGACATGACTGACTCGGTCGACGGCGATAGCAATGCCCTTAGGACGGCCGACCACCATGCTTCCGACGCTGTGTTCTCTGCCGCTGGAGACTCTTTGGAGCCTGGGAATGATGCTGCACTTTGGGCTCGCCTCCAGAGGCTTGAGCAGGAGCGGCGGTCGCTCCCTTGGACCTCTGCCTCCGAGCAGCAGGGATGGATCCGCGTGGTGCGGAATGGCATTGAAGAGTCGGTGGTCTCTTGGTCGGGCCGCGATACCATGACGGTGCTCACCAATGCGGCGGCTCAGACTTGTGGGTCCCCTTTTGATGCCTGGCAGGTGGAGGAGATCGAGATGCGCCTCCGTTCATGTGGTACACGTGCTTCCTTCGAAAGCACCATTGAGGAGGCCATGGCCGACAACATGTCTCGTGCTCTTCGCCTTCTGCGATCGGGCCGCTTTGGCCGCAAGATGAAGGCCCGAGCATGCGCATGCAGTCTGAGGCAAAACCTGTTATAAGTGGACCTGTCTCAAGTAATCAAGTGCAGGCACGCACACAGCACTGCCCTCATGACGCTCGAAAGACTTCTCAGCCAGACATGTGATAGTGCAGGCGAAAACGCAAAAGAGAAGTGTTTTATAACTGCATCCGAGGCCAGCTGACCATCAATGCTCACTAGCGCCGCCGTCGAGAAGCAGCCACACGCCGATTGCCGGCTTAAAGTGCGGGCGGTGGGTGCGGGTCGGGATTGGTGACGGGCCTCGCTGGCGCCGTTGCCTTATTTCTGAGCTTTCACGCCTGTGGTGCGTAGTGGCTCTTTCTGACTTTTCCCACTGTTCAGGTCGTGGTGACGCTGCTTGCTCGTGCTCGGGCCAGCTCCTTGTTTTGAGTCCCGATGGTTTTCCCTGGGATCTCACGTGACACTCTCAGGTCTTGGCTTTGACTGCAGAGCCCTGCCACGCCCCCAGGTGGAAGCACTGGAGCCGTTCTTCGGTGTGCTTTCAGGTCTTCGCGACGGATCCAAGTGGTGGGTCCGCTCCTCGTTTTGAGTCCCGCTGGCTTCGCCCGGGGATCTCACGTGACTTCTCAGGTCGGTACTCTTGTGCTGTTGACCTAGTGCCGTTCTCAGATTGCAGCACTGGAACCGTTGCATTCTCGGTTCCCGTTGTGTTTCTGGCGGCTTTAGGTCGCCTGGCATTTCGCCGCGGTGACCCTGGTCTTGACCTTGGCTGCGTTTGGCCGACTATTGTGCCACAGCCGGACCACGGTTTCTCTGGCATACATGTATCGTCAGGTCGTGGCACTCCCCAGTTCACGCTTGGCTGGGACTGCGATTCTGCAGTAGGCCACTGTGATTTACGCTGGCATTGCCTGCATGCCCCTGCCCCCCCCCCTCCTTTCCCACTGCTGTCAGGTTGGTTCCTTATGTCGCGGCGGAGCTCTTCACCTTTCTGCTTCAGGTTTAATCGGAGGCGCACATCTAATGCTCTTGAGGAGGATCCGATCGAGGATGCAAGCCCGCCTTCCTCGGGACATGCGGGCCTGCCTGCCTGGGCCACTGCTTCGGATCTTGCGGAACTCGCTCAGGATCTTCGCTTGTGTTTATCCCAGGCTGCGAACCTTGAAGGCAGGCTTCTTAATGTGGAACATCTGGTATGGCCTCCGACTTCTGACAATTCTGTATCGCCGGATGCTGCGGATCGGTTTCTGGCCATTGAACAGAGGTTGGCTGCTCTATCAGAGGGTTCGGATTCTGTGTCGCTTCATGTCAGCCAGACAGCCTTGCAGACGGATGCATTGTCCTGGAGGTTGGATCGCTTGGATCGCTTGGAAACTCGTGTCAGGTTGTTCTGGGAAAACATTGACGACTTGCGGTCGGCTCTGGGCTTACTGGTTCCTACGATCACCGGTGATCCTCAGGTGGCGGCTCAGGCTCTCTCAGACGCTCTCCCCGCACGGGTGGCACGGGCTGAACGTGCCCTCCAGTCTTTATCTCAGCAGGAATCGGCATCTGGGCACCTCTCGCTGCTCGACCGCGTGGCTCGCCTCGAGTCCTTGGTGTCGCAGCTGCCAGTGAACTTGAGCTCCGACATTTCTAGCCTCCGCTCTGATTGACAAGCTGTGTCTACCGGGCATCAAGGCGATTTTGCACTGAGCTTTGGAAAACTTGGCGAACCGCGGTTCTCCTGGGTTCTGTTGTCTTTGCCAGTTGTGTCTGCCTGCCGATCAGCCTCTTGCTTTTACCTGTTGCTAGGCTCAGGTTTTGGGGTGGGGTTGCGTAGCTCAGGGTCTTTCTCGGACAGATTATGACCAGCCGCTGGCTACCGGATGGAACCCCTCGCAAGCCATCTACGCCTGCACCTGGGCCGGCTCCGAACCCGGCTCTGGCTCCATTGCTGATTCCTAGGTGCCATCGCGCGCCTCTGGCCTCGGAGCCCCCGGCTTCTTTACCATCATTGGCGCCAAGGTTTCGTCCTCCATGCATCGTGTACTCGACTGAGGTCTCTGAGGGTGGCTTTGCTCCGCTTCGCCGTGCAAGTGTGCGGTCAAGCCTTACAGATTTTCCTCCTGCCCCGGCTCATCCCTACAAGCCGGCTGCACCGGGTACGATGTTGTCGGCGTGGCAGAATGCGAAGAATGAGCAACTTATGGTGTGGCTGGCCCTGGCAGCCACGGCTGCTGCGGCTTCTGCAATGGTGGCGGAGCTCTTGCAGAGTCAAAATTCTTCGGTGCTTCTGGTGC